CAATCGGTGCCTGTTGGTTCCCCATGATCCTCTATTTCTTATGTTATTTGAGAGCCGAGTTGATGAGATAGCCACCTGTCAGTGATCTCACCGTGTGGTCTAATCCCTTCTGGCCAAACTAGTACAGATGGCCTTTAAAGACCGTCAATACTACTGGGCCAGAAGGGATTTGACCACACAGCGAGGTCACTGACAGGTGGCTATCTCATTAACTCAGCTCTCAACTAACATAAGAAAAAGAGGATCATGGGGGATCAACAGGCACCGATTGGGGAAGTTTTCTATATAGAGGGAGCAAGTAGCTACAAGTAGGACAGTGGGGCTTTAAACAAAATTATTAAAAATAAGTCTGAGCACCATTTTCCAAAACCAAGTTATTTTGGGGCTGTACAGATCTTTGTCTATCTAATCGACTCAACTTTTCAGTGGAGTGGACTTGTACTTTAACACTTATTAAAGTAAGGCTGTGCATAACCGTGTAATGAAGTACTCGAGTACACTCCCAGGCTTACAGTCGAATACTCGGACGCCATGTTTTTTTTGGTTGAATTTTGTTGATATTTTTTGTTGTTGAAGTGAACTTCTCTATGTATAGTAAAATTATACCTTTACCTTCACGCGTATAATTCATCAATACAAAATTTTAAAGAATTCTTTTTTAGAATATTTATTTTTGTCATGACATCTCATCAAAACTTTCCAGATAGCCTTGCTACTGGTATGACGCAGCACTTTATAGTCATTATTAAGCTGTTCAATAATGGTTCACATTTATCTGCCAGTTTTACCAGTATTTTATCAGCAAAAATATAAAAATGCTTGTTTTCGTGTTAGGAATATCTTTCATTCAGATTAGATTTACATTATAATAATTTGGTTTACACAACTGATATGTACATGTATACATGTATAAGCCCAAAAATTTGCCAGCGTTTGAGACTTTCCATCTATTTAGATATTCATGTTTAGAGAGAAGGTTGAGTTCTGGGAAGAGGTGAAAAAAAATTGTGAGCTTTATCATTGTATTATGTAAGTGTGGCAGTACATCAGATAAAAATGTGCCCTGAAAAGCATGGATCTTCAATCAAATGCCTTAATATTCTAAACATGGCATGTAAAATTATATATTGAGGTTCGATTTTTACGCCACATGTTCATGTAGTCCCATATTCACATCTTTCTGTGTACAGTGCTTGTAACCTTACCAAGACTAGACCAAATTTCTTATAATTTTGATGATTCCAGAACCTTGCAGTACACACCAATACTTTTATATGCTAGATGATCAACCTGTCCTGATCGATTCCACAACGTTTCTTTCACAATGCAATCGCATGACCAGAACTTGACTTTATTTTTAAGCTGTTCAATATTGGTTCACATATATCTACCAGTTTCACCAGTTTTAAATGACATTGTTTATTGTGCTCTTCAAACAAAAGCTGATGGAAGACCAAAGAAGATTGTTTTCATGTTACAATTTTTTTTCTTCTATTAAATGTGAAAATATCGAGTTACTTACTCATCCGTTCACTTGCCGATGCCAACAATTTTGCTAAAATGTATTCACTTAGTGTAATCTTTCATTGTGTGCTGAAACTAGCTTGTGTTCAAGAAAATATGTATTTGCTATAATTACTTTGTAATTAAGAGTACCGGTAGTAAGATTCCACTTGCCTGGTTAAAATGTCATCTTTAGTAAGTTTCCTCTTTACCATCGGATGACTTAGTTATGTTACATTCTTTTATATGTAACCTAGCTAAAATAGTCTAATTTTGTTCAAAATATGAGATTCAGGATTTTGGTATTTCCTAATGAGGGTATCTTAATTCCTCTGCGTAATTTTAAGCGTCGGAAATCATGTGTACATGTATGTAAATATGATATTTGTTTTAATCAAATGAAAATGATAATTTTACAGCATTTCAATAGAAGCTGTTCTTTGTAGTGGCCCATTTTCTCCCTGACTTTGACTTTAAATCTGCTTCAGCAATGTTCTAAATCTTGGGTGCTCGTTTTGAGAGGGTTTACTTATTTGAAAAATTATGCACCATTTTAAGATATTGACTTCTACTTTAATGTCATGTGAAAATCAGCACAATCCTTTTTTTGACCTATTGGTCATTTTGTGGTGTAAGGTCACATATGACATTGTCCAGTATCGTTTTGTAACAAATGATTGTAACACAGTAACCCAAAAAAATTATATAAGTTTTCAAATGAACACATTGTTAATAGTTCCAAAAGTTGAACAAGATGGGCCATATTTCCTCTTTTACAATTGTTATACCTGCTTGTAAGGGTTTCAGGGTACATCCTATATTTATTGTTACTCAGGTTTAAAGTCTTTTTGGGAGGGGTGGGTGGCTTTTAGTATAGAAGTGGTTGAAATAAAAGGCTTTTAATTCTGATCTTTAGGCCATTTTGTTCAATTATTCAAGGAGATGGTCTTGTTATTGTGTGTAGGGAGGGATATGGGTGTATAGGTGTGAAAAGGCATTTTATAAACATATGTCCATATTGATCCAGTTATTTGCAAGATGTTCATTACCATTTGTAAGTTTGTTATGTTTGTCTCATTAAGTCAGTGTTAATTACAATTTTTTCCCCTCTCAAACAGTACATTTCAATTTCAATTGAAGAAATATAGTTATAGGTTTTTTGTATCAAACAATTGCTGGAATTATAGAGTTAAAATAGAGACCATCTGAAATGCATTACAATAAAGGGTACAAACAAGAAGGGGAAGAACTTGTTTTGACTGACTAGCCAAATACCTATAATTGGGATACAACTTGTTACCTTTCAAACAAATCAAATGTTTGCAGTTGGTAAAATTATCTTTGTATATTTGTGTGATTTTTTGGGGTCATGCCCTCTTTACAGTTTTTATTATTACAATATATGCAATAGGACCTCAACTCAGGAAAAAAAAAATCTTGCATACTCAGATACCTTGCCATATTTGTTCTTATTACTGACAGCTTTATGGTGTTGTGGTCAGTGTAATGGTACTCTTAATTGAAATATTTTAGTCTTTCCTTTTTATTCCTCATTAGCCTATACCTCATACATATAAGCTTGCTAAGTGTGTGCTGTTTACAAACAGTTTACTAATTAACTTTTTATGTGTACCGGTAAGACAGTTTATTACAAATATTTATTTGAACATGCATAAAGTCTTGCCACTTTACGTCTAAAGACTAGGATGTTTAAACACATTTACATGTATTACTCTAAAACGTGTGTGACATATATTTTATTAAAAGTATTCATCTTTTTCAACACAATTTTTCATTTCTTTTGGCAGGTCATTCATTGTGTCTCCCATCACTGATATATCAAACATATATTATGTATTTCTTACACATTTAAAATAGCTTCTCTTTTCTATAAATGATTTACATTTCAGAAGTTTCACCTTGGATTCACCATGGTTTGTACCTAAAAGCCATGGTGAAATTATGGTTAAACGACGGAGAAAACATGGTAATACCATTGTTTGACTGTACCGTGGATCCATTGTAGTACCATGTTATCAAGGTGGTAATACCATGGTGAAACTGTAATACTATGGTGTACTGTAATACCATGGTGAAACCATGGTTAAACCATGGTTTTACTGTACCGTGGATCCATTGTAAACCATGAAATAACAGGAGTAAATTGGAACAGACATATTATGGTAAAACCATGGTTTTACTGTAGTTTTACCATGGTTTTGCCGTGGTCATACCATGGTGAAACCAAGGTGAAACCATGGCTTTACTGTACCATGGATCCATTGTAAACCATGAAATAACAGGAGTAAATTGGAACAGACATATTATGGTAAAACCATGGTTTTACTGTAGTTTCACCATGGTTTTGCCGTGGTCATACCATGGTGAAACCAAGGTGAAACCATGGTTAAACCATGGTTTTACTTTGCGGTACTTTGCGGTTTAACCGTGGTAAAACCATGGTTTTACTGTACCATGGATCCATTGTAAACCATGAAATAACAGGAGTAAATTGGAACAGACATATTATGGTAAAACCATGGTTTTACTGTAGTTTTACCATGGTTTTGCCGTGGTCATACCATGGTGAAACCAAGGTGAAACCATGGTGAAACCATGGTTAAACCATGGTTTTACTTTGCGGTACTTTGCGGTACTTTGCGGTTTTACCGTGGTAACACCTTGGTTTTACCATGGAAAAACCACAGTTTAACCATGGAAAATCCATGGAAAATCCATGGTAAAACCATAATATGTCTGTTCCAATTTACTCCTGTTATTTCATGGTTTACAATGGATCCATGGTACGGTAAAACCATGGTTTTACCGTACCATGGATCCATGGTTTTTTTTTACAAGGGGTCACATGAAGCGTTGCTGGGTTGGTATCTGCTGGTCCTTTGCGTAACTTAACTAGTATGGCGCAATATTTCTGCGCACAATTGTTTTGATGCTACGCAGAATGTTCAAATTTGAAATATAAATTCGCCAAAAAACTGGATTAAAATTGACGAAAAACGAATATATCTCGGAAAATGTTCACATACCGTCGAAAAGAGTGAAATGTCCACAATCACAGGAAAATTTCCAAGACGTAGATGTATAACAGTCAAAAGAAAGTGCACAATAAACGCACAAAATATGGGAATTTACGGAGCACCACAAACACACGTCTGCCTCTGTCAGAATTTAAATAGATGAACAATAGGTATCAATTACAGATCTACGCCCATGGTAAGAAACATCCATAAATTGGAATATCTTAGTAAACCGGTCTCAGTAGTCAGGAGTGAAATCCTGAAGAAAAAACAAAACATTTGAGCATTTTCACCAGATTTTTCCGCATTTGAATAATAAAAATATGACATGTTCTGAATGTAAATTACGCGTCTAGCAATTTTGCATACTCCAGCGCGCGCCTTTTTTTTCAGCAAAGTCGTACGCGTACGTGTGTATAACGTGTACACATATTTATTGTAAACATTATTGATAAAGAGCTAGGAAGCTAGAGGCAAACATTCCAGACCACACTCCATATACCACTTCTCACCATAAAAGCCCTGCTGGCCTGGCGCCGGTATAAAATTGTGTGTTTAGAAGCCTCGATCTCATTATCTCGTCAACATACTAACTCAACTGATGACAATGTTGAAACAACGATTTATCGGCAGTATTTCATTTCTCTTGCTCCTGGCTGTTGACATCAGTTTTGGGGGACAGGACATTACCTGTGATGCTGCCCCAAGGGACCTTACTGTGCAGTTCCGAGGCGCCAGCTGCGCATCACATAGACATGGATCGTGTGTGGGTGACCGGTCGTTCGGGCATGGACAGCCTCTCCCTATCGGACTTTTTGACCGCTCACAGTCCGGGGGCCAAGCGCCTGTCGTTGTATATGAAAATGCTGACCCGGTAAGAGTACAAGTAGTTTAATTCAATTCATAACACAGTAGGCTTTTTAGATCATATGATGGGAGTATCGGGACAATTACCCCCTGGACAATCACACCCCGGAAAATGACCCCCCCCCCCCTCCGGAAAACTATACCCCACCGCGGACTATACCCCCGGAAAATAACCATCCCTGAGGACAATATTACCTTTTGAAAATTACGCTCCGTTGACAACCCCCCCCCCCCCACTCACCCCTGGAAGTTATGCCCCCCCCCCCTCCGTCCCCGTCGAGCATTACCGCCCCGAGGACAATTACCCCCCGGAAAACTATACCCCCACGGGCTATTTACCCCCCCCCCCCTCCCGGGAAAAAATTAACCCCTTAGGACAACCATTCCTGAGGACAATATTACCCCCTGAAAATTACCCCCCCCCCCCGTGGACACCCTCCCCCCCCCCACCCCCCGTCGAACATTACCGCCCCGAGGACAATTACAACCCCTAAAAATTATACCTTAGGACAATTACCCCTCTGTTCATTAAAGAGGAAGTCCACCCTTATAATAAGATAATAAAAGTATATTTTTCGTGGGAAATTGTCCTCGGGGGTAGGTGAGATGATTGTGCAAGGGGTAATATTCCGGGGGATTATAGTCTCTGGGGGGTTTAGTTTTCTAGGGGTATTTTCCGGGGGTGATTGTCCAGGGGGTAATCTTAGAACCATGATGGGGTATTGGGAGTAAGAGGGGTCAAAATAGTGCTAAAGTAAAGCATGATACAAGTCGCCCATGTAGCACACTTATGGCCCGAATTCACAAAGCAAGGTTTGAGCTCAAACCTCCTTTTGTTTCGCCAAACCTCCTTTTGTTCTTTACAAACCAGGTTTGTAAAAAAACGCGTAAAACGTAAAAACGCGTAAAACGCGTCATATGACGTACAAACCTCCTTTGTGAATTCGGGCCTATAAGTCTATAATAAGGGAGTTTACAGATAGCATACGGTACAAATGACCCCACATATCCACAGATCTTTTACACATGGAGAAGTTCTACTTTGAGCATCTTAGAATAATAACTGCCAAAGTCCTAGATGTGCTTCATGAATAACTTTTGTTTGACCTCTTGAAAAGAATATTTCCACCTGCGTATCATAGAATGTACCGTTGGTGCATAAATGAATAATGTTACATAACTTTCATGAGCGCATATCCAGTATTCATCTCTGTGGGTTTTACCATTTTGGTACAAATGACCTTTATCTGCCCATGCGCAGATTGTATCTGTAAACTCCCTTATAAATTATAGATAGACAATACAAGACATGGGGAATCAAATTGTAAAATGCTTCTTTGTTTTCACTGCTAGGATTCATTCTACTCAGTTCTAATGATAGACCCCGATGCCCCTAGCCCAAGCAACCCTACCGCAGCCCCATGGCTTCACTGGTTGGTAGTCAACATTAACGTGAGTGATCAAACAATTATCTTGTTTTTCTTCAATCAATCAATATTACTCTGAATGGGTATGAGTTTTATGTAGATCATTTTGAGCGTGTTATGAGTTATGTGATGTGTCGAGCTTCAAAATGTTATCCAGATTACGTTTGTGTCCAGTATAAGCCTTTATATTCCACATACTAAGAATCTTGCTCTACGATTGGTCAAAAGTAAATCACGTGATGAAAGATAGTTCGCCCATTATTGATGGGAGAAGCAAAAAGTTCGTTACACTGTGTAGATAGTACTACTATCTACATAGTGCAACGCACTTTCACTGAAGATAAAGGTACTATCTACAAAGGGCAACGCACTTTCACTGAAGATTTTCCAAAAGCGCACTAAAACAGGCGTAATTAAGAGCGCATTACCAATGAGCGCAATTAAAACAAACACATGCGCGCACCGTGCCCTCAAGGGGGTTGGGTTAAACTGTTAAACTTTTTTGGTGTGAATTTGGGCATGGTGTATTTTTTGTAAATGCATACACGTCCTTATCTTTTTGTAGTTAAATTGTTTTAGATGTGGAATATAAAGCAAATAATCACCTTTTGGTTTCAGGCGATGGCAAACTATCACTTCCTCGTCGATCAGAATGTATACGCTATCTTTCCTCAGCTTCGCTTCGGAAAGATAGCTACATACAGATCGCCTCGGAAGTGATAGTTTGTCCCATCACCTTCACCAACGGTAGTTATTTGCTCAATAACAGGATTCTCGTCCCGTTGATTTGCGAGCAAGAGGACTTCTTATAATCATCAAGTCTCAAATTCAATACGAATTCATGAACGTAAGAGCTGGCTAAGAGCAAACCAAACAACAACAAAAAAAACATAAACCTACAGCTGTTGAACGGATCCCTATACAAGTCACGATTTGACATTTGTAAAAAAAAATATGAGTGTGTATGCAGAATGATGAAGAGCCAACATTTAATTATGAATGTCAGGCCAGATGGTGCTGTTTTGCTTGAATGACATAGAGTACCGTTATTTGATTTATATCCATCCCCCAGACTGCGTCATTTGCTATGGCGGCACCAGGAGGGGACATGTGTCTAGGGGGGTGTGACCCCCCCCCCCCGTCACCCACCCTATTCATGTAGCCATTTTGTAGATATTTCATATTGTGAGATGATGGTCTAACTTTGAATGCTACTTTAAGGTGCACTCCTGATTTCTATTTCATTTCACATCCTAAAAATAACACGAACACAAAGACTTTCGAAATATCACCCCTCCCCCTAAAAAAAAAAAAAAAGCGGCAACTTCAAGAGCTTGCGCGCCACCTATGTTGAATGTGTAATAGTGCAATGATAAGTAATCCGGACATGGTTTCTATGTGATACAGTCAAACCAAGGGAAAATCAAAACGTGGCCTTTGTAGACAGGTTCTTTTAGTACATGATTCCATGAGAAACCATTTTCAAGGGAAACAACAAAATGAGGCCTTTGTAGACAGGTGGTCACTAAAGCAGGTTTGACTGTTTATACAAAACAAAAGGATATTTAATTTCCCTGGAGTTGATTTTTTCGAAAGTGTTTGTGATCGTGTGAAATATATTATATTTATATATTCTTAGAGGATTATTAAAAAGTTTAAATGTGGCATTTATTTGCCCTGTCCGTTGGTTATTCTTTGGCACATTCAGGGAGAGACACTTCGCTCAGCTGACCATGGTGTTGGAGATAAAACCGTGACAGGTAATATTATCAAATCATTGTAATCACGTAATCCATTTGATATGTTGGGGTTCCTCTTTTTTAAGAAGGTTTCCTTATTCCGAGTATTGAATATTGAATAGCGTTCATAATTCCGAATATTTGATGCATTACTCCGTAGGTTCGTTATAAAGTTTTTAATACCGAAAATGAAAAAGGGTCCATTATTCCGAAAATGAAATCGAGCTAATAATTTCGAAAAATGAAATCGGGTTCGTAATTCCGAAAATGAAATAGGGTTCGCTGTTCCAAAGGTTCGTAATTCCGAAAACAATACAGGGTTCTATTTCGTTTTCGGAATTATAAACCCTGTTTCATTTTCGGAATTATGAATCCTATTCTATTTTTGGATAATGAACCTTCTGAAAACAAGCCCACGGAATAACGATGTGTAGCCGATATTATGAGAAGTATTGTGTTCTAGTGGATAAGTCTATTGTCTGTACTGTGAACCGCCAGGTATGCGGTTCAACTCCCTGGCGCAGACTCTCGAAGAATCTTTTTTAAACATCTTTTTCTTTGAACTCCACGTCCACATTTTAAGGCCCGGTCCCACTGCACTTACGGATGCAAAGAGGATGTAAAACGTAAAAAAATCTTGCCATCCGTTGGAAAACGCTATGCATCCGTTGTGTACTCATTGCATACGTGTTTCATACGCTCTATCCATCGAGCATCCGTCCACTGTGATTTCATCCGCGCAAAAAGTTTTGAGCTGCCCAAACTTTTAGAACGGATGATTTTCCGCCGTGTACGATGTAAATCCGCGACAAATACGAGCAACAAACGTTCTATGTCCGTTATCATCCGTTAAACGTCCGCTGTATCCTCTCTGCATCCTCTGGGCATCCTCGCAACTCACATCCGCTGCAGCTGAATACGAAAAGAGGGAGGAAAGATAAGGTACATGGAACGTCTATACATCGTTAGTAGCACAGTAATAGAAAGGATGTAAGCGTATGCATCTCGTATATAAAATATTCAAAGCTGTCATCCACTTCCATCCGCTTCCATCCGCTAGGCTTCCGATGAACATCCGTTTAACATCCCTGCTACATACTACCCACGTCCGTTATTTTCCGTTCTGTTTTCGCGATTTTTCGCAAATTTTGTCCATTTCTGGAGCGGATGAAAACGGATGGAGCCACCCGCAAAATTTTGCTCGTCCGCTGTGTCCTTTATGCGTACGTGTTGTGTCCATCGGCCAGTGGGACCGGGCCATTATACTATCTTTGATTATTATGTATAACCTAACTGATAAGTTGGTTTGTAAACGACTTTTGTAATATTAACGTACCGGAAACGCACACTCAGGACATATTACGTAATATGCTTCGGACTTTTAATTAGCATGACCGTTGCACACAGGGCGCCATTTTGCTGACGTAGGACTGCGTTTGTGATTGGGGCGTTCTTTGGCGCGTCATTTGAGATGAAATATCGTACACAAATTGAGTGCAAAGTGACGCATTTGAGATAATCATCGTTAATAACGCAAGTGAGTCGACGCGCCTTGTGCAAAGGAGACAGTTCATAACAATGCTTAAATAGGATTGGACTATGGTTTGCATCTTTCATTTTCAATCGCCTTTTGTAAGATAGTGCTCTCGCACGGCGCGTCAAAGACCGCGGCAGTCGAAGACGCAATCGTGCGTCGACGCATAGTGTGCAACGAGCATTATAAATGCGTGTCGACGCGTATCCTAGAGACACACCCTCTACTTCATCAAGACTTGACCTTTGATCCACCATTCATTTATTACCTGATCAAACGATTCTGGATATAGATTTTGAACGAATTAAAAATACACTTTCTTTCTTCTCCGTCAGAGTACGCTCCTCCTACTCCACCATCCGGTATCCACAGATATATACTCCTCCTCTTCCGTCAGTTTGGTTCCTTAAGAAACGTGCCGGTGCCCTCTAGTCGTGCCAAGTTCGACGTAGGTGCGTTCAAGACGTATTATGATCTGGAATGTGTTGCGACGACTTCTTTCAGAACGGGCAAAGAGATCAAGGAATAGAATAAAGCTGTGTTGCATGGTATGATAATGTTGTAATCAGTGTGTAGGTTTAAAGCCGCCTCAGCTACATATTATCTCAAATGTATGTTCAATGTCTTCCGAAATACGACGTTTAGTTAGGCTCTGAGAAGGATACCAGCATTCTGTTTACAATAAGAAGTTGCACACGAGAAGCCATTTTGCTCACCGATCACTGCGAGGGACAAAGATTCCTTCAAAATATATAAATTCCTTCCGAAAACATTTATATTATTTGGTTTACCTCAACATTGGCGTGCAATGTCGTTATCCATCTCTTAATGGCGTTTAATATAGGTGGTATTTCTCATATGACAAAATACTTCTGCGGACGGTAAAAACAGGCCGAAAAAATTATATACCACTCTAAACTCTTAAGATATTAATAAAAAATCATTTCGAAAGATAATCATGTACATTCCATATCTTTATCTCTATCCGTGATAATTATTTTGGTTTAGAATTATAAAAATACCTTTCAAAGTTGTTTGACTTTCCCTCCCCTCCTTAAATAAGCAAAACTGGAACAGCAGTTTATATTTATTGCTTGCTTCTTCGTTTTAATTCCAAAATGCATTGAAGCAAATGTTCCAAAACGATTTAGATCTATTTGGTACAACATTATGACCAACGTGCATTGATTTCAGTATTGCATTGGTACTGCTTTTTGATGTGCGCCCTCAAGGTCGAAAAGTTATCATAATGTCTCATACTTGTGTTTCATTGTAAATAAGGTACTCCATGATGTAAAGAGCTCTTCCATTTCTCCTATATAAGATGTTTTATTTGTTTGTTTGTTTTTAATCATGTCTGATCTTTTCATTACAATAAAAACTCTTGATGTAGTTAGGAAAACGAGAGAGCCGGTAATAGGGCAATGAACCTTTAACTGAGAAAGTGACAAGCTTTGTTTATTTGTTTGGTTTTTGTCTCATTTTCTCTTGAAATGGTTTTGATATCATTATTTCAAACTTTGTTTAATCTATATTTCAAACTATCTCTCTCTCTCTCTCTCTCTCTCTCTCGTTTCTTTATGGTTTCTTTTTCTTGTCATAAATCGTCAAAACCTTTTTTTTGTGGCACAAGTTGTTACACAAATATCGACACTTTTGATGATTCAGATAATTCAAAACCAATTGTAAAGCACTTTTAAAAGGGTAGACTCTTAAATTCTCTACAAAGTTACATGCATGATAAAGATAATGAATGTACTTGTACGCCGTAGCCTTACAGTCAGGGGCGTACGCAGGGGGGGGGGGGGGTTCAAACCCCCCCTTTGGTATTTTTTATGTGTGTAAGCCCCCCTAAAAAAACTAACCCCCCCCCCCCTTGTTTTTGTTTTTGTTTTTGTTTTTTGTTTGTTTTATTTTAAATTAAAAAAAAAAAATAAAAAAAAAAAAATTATGCCCACGGCTAACGTAAAGTGAACTTACCCCTCCCCCCCCCCCAACGAAAAAAAAAGTCAAATTTTCAAATTTCGAGACCAAATAAAAAAAAAGTGTCCGCTTACCCCCCCCCCCCCCCCCCCCCCCCCCCCCCCCCCAACTGAGCGACTTTTCGGTTGGCTGAGTCGTTGCGATTTTTTTGGACTACCAAAAAAAAAAAAAAAAGTGTCCGCTTACCCCCCCCCCCCCCCCCCCCCCCCCCCACTGAGCGACTTTTCGGCCGGTGCGATTTTCAAATTTTCGGGAGCAAATATTTTGGGCCAGATTTTAAACCCCCCCCCCCCCCCCTTGAAAAAATCCTGCGTACGCCCCTGCTCACAGTCACCACCATACGTAATTTTCCTTATATACTCCTTAATCATATTATTTTAAAACAAAACATCTGCCACACGGATGTCTGGCAATCCAAGGTAATAAATCTACCCGAACAGATATGGAAACAAAATAATCTCAGACAGTGATGACGTCTGGATGACAGGAAATTACAAAGGCGGTAGGGATAGGCTTCTTCCAAGGTTGCATGATGGGATGTCATGACGTCAAAGATGCATAATCTCGGTATAAACGACGCCTTTCCCCATCAATAATACAGAATGATACAGCCTTGGATTATATACGTTATCGCCGAATATGACAACATTGAAAGGGAAACGAGGAGCCCAATTCCTGGCTCCATTCCTAAAACCTTTTCCTTCTTCTCCACCTTCAAATTAAAATGAAGAGGAAAGGGAGCGAAACTCCTTCCTTGACGCATGCAACTCTTTATGAAATTATTAAATTATTTAAACCTGATTTACATTTAATTGAATCAAACGAGCTGATTCGCCATTCGGGTCGTTACTTTAATAGAGAGTTTTCTCTTTCTTTTAATAAAGAGAACATGAATTGTAAGTATATATGAAACTTATAGCTTATCATTTAGACTTTAACCAAGTGGGAAGTTTAGATAAGGATACATTAGAACTGTACTTTCTTCATGATCATTAATTTTTGTATCATTTTCATATTGAACCAGGATACAGATAACTTGAACACAGATATTAATGTTTAAACACTCATAAAAAAGAACCACGATTTATGACTGTAAAATTGTAATAAATCGTGGTTATGATGTTGCCTTAGAACGAATACTTTTACTCCGAATTAGGACGGTGTTATGCAGTGGCGTAGTGGGGATAGGGCATCAGCATGGGGGGGGGGTGGCGTTCTTGTACTCGATCAATGTGTGATGCACTTGAAATTAACAAGGCGAATGACAAGGGGGCGGGATATCAGGGAGTTGTATCATCTTCTTTTTACCTTCCTTTTTCGCCCTTTCCCTTTTTTTCTCCGCCATTCGATAGAAGGGAGCGGGGGGGGGGGGGTGGGGGTGGTGCTTGCTCCCTCACGCCATCGTGTTCCTCGTGGCCACTACATGCTGTGCTCTGAAGACTGAAGTAGTCATGACGTGCAGCGAATGTGGATGGTGCTAATGACAAAATATCACTTGATTAATTGAGGCAGGGGCGTTGCAGATAATTCTTGCTCTCGCATTGTGTATCCGGGTCAACCTCCCCTTGCCACGCTTGTGTTGTTCAATTCGGAGAATTATTATTTAAACGGGCAGGAAGGCTACATGTTCCTTTTCATTAGTTATTTGTATTGTTTTGTTCTTCATAGGCGGATCCAGGGGGCCAAAACGGCTGAGGAACCATTTTATGCTTGAAAACAAAACAAATGGCAATCATTAAGGGGAGAATAAGGGACGGGGAAATTACCTTGACGTACTGTTGAATAAATATTTTTTTTTATTCACAGGCGGATCCAGGGGGCCAACACAACGTGGAACCCTTTTATACTTGTAAACAAATAATGGGGAAATAAGGGCAAAATGAGTGAAAGGGAAATTACCGCAACTTAATGTTGAAATAAATTTCATTTTTTATTCATAGGCGGATCAAGGGGGACAAAACGGCCGAGGAACCCTTTTATACTTGTAAACAAAAAATTGGGAAATAAGGGCAGAATAAGTGAAAGGGAAATTACCGCGACTTAATGTTGAAATAAATTTCATTTTTTTATTCATAGGCGGATCAAGGGGGACAAAACGGCCGAGGAACCCTTTTATACTTGTAAACAAAAAATCGGGAAATAAGGGCAGAATAAGTAAAAGGGAAATTACCGCAACTTACTGTTGCAATAAATTAAATTCCCGAAGGAAAAATTCTGACGACATACAACCCAAAATGTTAGCTATATCCATTGTTTTCATGATCCCTCGTAATATTTCCCATTTTTTATTTGCCCCAGCAATTTCTTATATAATCAATCCACCATCATTGTTATTACGGCATGACGGTGTCAGGTTGTCTTGCTTGTCGTATTATCCGTCTATCATTTTGTGTCATATTTTCTTAAATATCATTGACATTTTTTAATAATATTTTAATGTCAAAATCTATGACAAAACAGTTTGCTAATCATGACTGTTTATAGTTTTTAAATGGAAATCCAAACTTGATAGAAAACTACTCTAGATGAAATCAATTAAATCATATAAGCAAACTGGTATGAAATCGGACGGAAAGTGAGAAAGATGTAGTAAGTTATGAATTTCTGAAAGTGATAATCATTGAACTATAGTCAAAGTGGCTGAATCGGTAATGTCTCTGTGATGTAGTTCATTTGCTCCAACACCGTGACACAAACTAACTAAAAATATTAAGAAAAGTATGACTCCTGAGAGTATTTTGTTACTTTAGATGACCTATAAAATAAAATATCCATAATATATTTTTAACGACAAACGGGAGAGTTATCCGCGATTACGTGACAATCCACTGACCAAAATACCACTTTGAGATTCGCATGGACTCATTTAATAGTGATCTCATATTTCATACATTCATAACTTTCATGGTCCGATCTATTTTCAAACTTTCGCCATTTTCTTTATCTTACTTTTCTGCTTTCATACACATGAACTTATTACAAGTCCTTTAATTATGTGAATGGACATTCTTTCTATCAGTTCAAAATCTAAAGCCACCTTCAAACTTATAAATATGACATGCCAGTATTCCAAATAATGCAAGCAATAACAACGTTTTCATGTTAAATCTCGCATCGATTGAGTAACATTATTAGTACAAACTTTTAAAACTGGGTATTAAGTGTCATTTTTCTATGCCTATATGAATTATGTTTAGTATTGGTACGCGGATCGTGAATTAATACATTAGGATGGGATAAATATTTTTAGAAATGTAGGAGGTATGCTTAACAAAGGAAACACCCAGATCCGGTCCATTTAGAAGGGCCAATATAGTTTTGGAATGTGAACTCCTTTTTCCAATTTCATTTTTTTTCTTCTGTTTGGCGCTGTTCTTATACGCTTTACAATAACCCAAAATTATTATTATATTAAACTGCGTTTAGTACCGGTTTGTCTACATACACTGTACCATGATATGACAACTCGCTGTTACACTTCGGTGCTGGGCACGTTCATTATTCAGGGCTGGTGTGCTCATAGCTCACATCATTGTTTGGCACACAATTGTTTGGAACCAGCAGCCTTGACAACTTTACGATCATGACGTACACTTCGGTACTCTATTATTTGCTAACAATATACAAAAATGCTGTTTGGGAATACACAATTTTGATGCCATGACAATGTGAACAAACCCATAATTGCATTACAATAGACTTCAGAAGTGCTAACGTCATTATTCGCTCGTCGTCCACGTTTCTGGTTCTGAACAACAGAGCGTGCGCACGAGGTTCACCTCGAAATCATTCAAGCAACGGATTGGAGCAGGGCAAATACAATGTTTGGCGCTAATGTGACCTACACGCCATTGTTTAGCACAAAATTGTTTGGAACCAGCAACCTTGGCTAATATGACGGCACACTTCGGTACTTTATAATTATGTACGTCATGAAGTCCGCCCTTGCTTGTATTCAGAGAAAATGAGTAAATTGTAATTTCATAAAGAAATTCTGCATTTTTCGACTGGAAAAATATAATCAGAGGGTGTGTCAAGGAAACAAGCGGTGGGGGGGGGGGGGGGGGGGGGGGGGGGGGGGCTCATGAACGAAAAAAGTTGATAGTCATTTTTTTTTCTCTTTCGGCTTCCAGATTTTTACAAAATCCACGTATAAAGATGTATGACAATCTGAATTTGCAGGAAGCCATGCATGAACCCATACACACGTTCAAAGATGAATGCATAATAATCATCATCACCATCATCACCACCACCTTCATCATCATCATCATCGTCATCGTCATAGCCATCTTCATCATTATCATCATCATCGTCGTCATCATTGTCATAACCATCGTTGTCATCGCCATCATCATCATCATCATCATCATCATCATCACTACCATGCATCACCACCACCACCATATCGATGATGATGATGCTTATGATGATCATCATCATCATTGTCATGATTATCATATACGTCATGATAATTATCATCAGCCAGACTGACAGCTCGCCAGACAATGGATCTCGTTGGTCTTCTGACAGCTTTTTATAAGGGTCCGCTAGACCGATATTTCCGTTTTCTGTACTTGCAATCTCACGGGTCTATTTAATTTCCCAATTATCGTTATGATCAACATTATGATCATCATTACCACTACCATGCACCATCATCATCATCATCATAATAATCATCATCGTCATCATCGTCATCGTCGTCGTCGTCGTCGTCATCGTCGTCGTCATTGTCATCATCCTCATCATCATAATTATGTAGAGGCGCTGTTGTCCAGAGGATAAGTCTCCGTACTGTGGACCACAACGTAAGGGGTTCGGATTCTTATCACAGCACTAATGTCATTTGGCAAGACATTAATCTACACTCGTCACACTCCACCCAGGTGATGTAAATGGGTACCTGGCAGGAATTAGTTCGAGCGCTGTAATGGTAGCCATGCTAAAGGCCTGGTTATAATAATGGAGCCCTAGGGGTGGCAGTGTGCCAGACAGCCATACATGACGCCACTATCATTACTATTATTGTTTATAATCATCATCATCGTCATCATCAAAGTCATCATCATCATCGTCGTCGTCATCATCATCATCGTCGTCGTCATCATCAACATCATCGTCTTCGTGTTGTTTCCTTAAAGCTAGAATCGGAAAGTGTGTGAGACACTCCATCTTGGGCGGTGGAGAGTCGGGGGGGGGGACCACCAAAAAGGGCACTTTCTGTAGAAAAAAGAGGTACTTACAAAGGGAAACTTCAAAGCGAAAATATACAATTGTTAGACATTGGAATAGACCCTTATATCCCTACATCGTGAGTAGATTATCAGGGATGATTTCATTGTTCGTTCCTCTCTTTACATGGTCCAATATACTGCTTAAGCAATCATTCTTTTCAATTGGATGTGATGGTCTGAATATTTATTTGCGAGAGAGTAAGGCAAGCGAGCAAACATTTTAAGATTTGAAAAAGAGCACGTATTAAATTAAAATTCATGATTATCAGAGGTGAAAATGGGGCACTACTCGCATCTAATAAGGGGCACTCACCAGAGGTGGAAAAGTGCACTTATGAGAACGGAAAATGGGCACTTATTACAAAGGAAAAGGGGCAATTATCTGAAGGAAAATGACACTAATTAAAAAGGATAGGGGTCACGTGTCAAAATAAAAGGGGCACTTATCAGAGAGTAAAAAGGGGCACTTATTACAAAGTTAAAGGGGGCACTTCTCAATTTTTAATAATGGCACTCACTGCAGATGAAAAGAGGCACTTAAAACTGTCAAAAAAGGAACACCTCTCAAATTTGAAAAGAGGCTATCAATAGAAGTGAAGGGGCACTTATCAGAGGGGGTATTGGGCATATCTTGTACCTGAAAAGGGTCACCCACCTGAAGATGAATAGGAGAACCTCTGAGTAAGGAAAGGGACACTTATTACACAAGAAAATGGACACTTGTCGAAAAAAGGGGCATTTTAATAAAACATTTATCAGACGTGTAAGAAGGGGCAGTTATGAAAAAGGAGCGGCTCAGTCTTATCTTAAAATGAAAAGGGGCATTTATCAGAAGGAAAAAAAGGGGAACTTATTAGAAAGACAAGGGGGCACGTGTCAAATTAAAGGCTGCGCTTATGAGAGGTGAGAAGGGGCACTCATCAAAGATGAAAAGGGGCACTTATCAAAAGGGGAAGGGCACTTCTAATAAAAGAAAAGAGCACTTGTAAAAGAAAATGGGCACCTCTCAGATTTGAATAGGGGTAATTACAGAACATTCATTTGCATTCCTTTGGAACTCGTTGTATCATGTACACATCTGTTTCTAAATTCACTTTTTTAATTCACTTTTTTATATCGTAAAAAATGTTATTTTGTAATCAAAGCATACGTTGGTAGCTGAATTCAAAAATCATAATACTATATTCGGTCATCCCGTTACTCGAATATGGGGATCTCGTTGCCCAAATATATCAATATTTGGATACATCGCTGTCAAATAGAAGGATATTTTGGCACCTCGATGCCCAAATTTGGAAGCACTCAGGAACTTCGCTGCCTAAAATCATCATGTTTCCAAATGATATGAGCGAGCGAAGAAAAACAAACACTTTATCCCTGAATTGTTATTTCTTAACATTTCGTTTTCACAACATTGACGTTATTCTAAAATGTAATAGTAACTTCCCCTCGCGGCACCCCATAGGGATGTCTTGCGACACCCTGGTTAAAAAGCGCTGCCATAGACGATAGAATTCACTAAAAATCATAAAATGACAACTTGTTCATACAACGATGCATAATATTAATACAGTTTTGCTTTTCATAAGTATCAAATACCAAAAGTATATTTAAATTGAATTATCTCTTTTTCTCGTATGTGTAAAAAATGACTATTTCGTACAAGAAAAACGAGAAAAACCGACAGAGTGATGTGTCAACATTATTTTTCAGTGAGATAATAAAAAGCATGCAGGTAACTCAAGAATATTTCTTACGAAACCTCGTATCAAGGTTTTCTTCCCCTCAAGATTATTTTCGAAATGAAGGGAAGGGGGGGGGGGGGGGGGGTTGTATGACTGTAACATTTGCTCTATATCATCAGCTGTTTGTTCTTCTAAAAGTAAACCTTGACACCAGTTACCTTACGTAGTTCCCCTGATGTAGACATATATATTAGTGGCGTATCAAAAAAAGTGGATGGATATAGGGGGTCGACAAAATTATTTTAGTTTCCACTTATGGGGACGGAACAACCTGATCAACACAATTTTTTTTTTTATCTTCTCCATGCAGAGAGGGAAGTGGAAGAGAGGGAAGTGGAATATAGAAAATAGGAAACCAAGCGAGCCATGTTATGTACACTGCAAGTGGTGAATGTTTTATCTCTTTATACCAGGGGCGGGATGTGGGGAGGGGGGGGGGGTGGGGGTTAGCGCCTTTCTATATTTATTACACCCCGTAGCGCCACGATGTTGATGAAATGTGTATCAAAGGTCAATTACTCTCACATGATATTGCGCAAACATTAAACTTGTCGCTAGTGGATGTACATGTCGCAATACGTAGACGATAGGGGGCGTGGGATGACCAACATAGTATATATTGAAAACGTTTGAAGACGTGATGGGGGCGGTGATGAAGGGGCGTAAAAGCAAATATACGAACATTAGGGGATGCTGACGGTTGTTTGTTTGTGTTCCGTCACATTATCACCCTTGATGCGTTTAAAATAAGCCAGTCTTAGTTGTGATTGTCGGAATATATATTTTAATGATATTTTTAATGGCTCAGAAAAGGACTAATAGTTATTGCAAAAATGATGTCACTCAATTAATCCTGCTCTAAAAGAGTCACTACCTGTAATAGCCTCATCATCGAGTCCGATTGAAATAATAATAGAGGCGTATCCAGAAATCGAAAAGCGGATGCAGTAAACCGCCTTTAAAAAAACAAAAACAAAAACAAATTATTATTATTATTATTATTATTATTATTATTTTTTTTTTAATTAATTTATTGATTAATTTTTTTTTTTTGGGGGGGGGGGGAGGCTTGTCACAGAATTTTCTGACTTGTGCCCCTCTGCCAGAGAATCCTGGATCTGCCAGTGACAGCTTATTTGGATTTTCTGATCATGACACGATTAATCTTCAGAATAATTAAAGACACTTGAAGCCCCTTATATAGGAATTCTTGTTTTCGAGGTAGGTCTACATGTACTAGTACTATTAAGAGCATTACATACAAAGATAGTATAATAAGGTTTAAATGTATAGTCAATAGATGGTATTTATGAGTACATGTATAATAAGCTATATTAAATCATACTTTTGTTGCGCAGTACGTAAAAGGGGCAATGATTATAAAAATGACAATGAAATGTTCCGGGAAATAACCAGGATGCACGCTATGATTACCATCATAAATATTAGAACAAACGATTTTGCTGATGAATGAAATGCTTCAAGTTGGAGAATAGAAACGTCTAGAGCGGCTGCGAGTACTACCTGCAATATAATGGCATTGCGTCAGGGTATTCCCCCTCGCCTCGTTTGGCGTATGTGATGACGTCATGCATCATGCAAGCAAGAGCATCGCGCTTCCTGCCTAGCCTGTGCACTACTACTTGCATTCCGTATTTCTGCGCCTTGTGTGATGGCGGCCCACTGATTGTTGACCTGGCTACAGATCCAGAGGTCTGACGTTAAAAGAGAAAAATAATAGCATTCTGCATTGGTAAGTGGCAAAATAACCAGCAAAATAATGCCTGGGAATGATTAGCAAATTATACTTCTACTCTGCATTGATCTTTGCAGGTTTACTTTGAAATATCTGCTGAAATTTGATGACTAACGGTTTGTTGGCATTCGCAGAAAAATGCCTATGTTGTGTGTCATAATAGACCCTATGTATGTGTAAGTGACTAAGTCGTAACTATCGGTATACGAATTATAACAGAAACGCAAAGTACTCGGATAAAGTCAGTAGTTCCCTAACAAGTTATTTAAACGAAAGCACACAGACGTATATTACATGGATTAATGGATGTTTGTCACTCAAAATAAAAAGGTAAAACGTAAGATTAAGTCTAGGAACTAGTTTGTCTTGTTAAATTTTTGACTGAGAAAAATATGACCTTGACACATTTGTATCTGCTGTAGGTGGTCTCTAGTAGAGTGATTGGTATAATTATCTACTGCATATTATTTATCTACTGTAATTAAAGTATGGTCATGATTGATCATTTGATGTTACGTGTATGTTGTACGTGGTATTTCATTAAGAAGTGTCAGACATATCGGGCAAATTCTCAGGACTACAACTACAACAAGCACAAGACAGGCATGCATTTTTTTTCTATCTCGATACGTAGACGACGGTATAGATCTAAAAGTATGTAGATCTATCACTTGGCTTAATTTATTAACAAGTGCGCAAAAATACAATGAAAGATGATCAAGAAAGGAACTTAAGACCAAGCTGATCAGAGCATGTAAAGTATAAAATAAAAATGATAATAAAAAAAAAGAAGGATGCAGCTTTGTTTGATACTGTAGGTGATTTAACAGTAACCTTCAACCTAAGCAGAGAGAGAGTAGAAAATAAAGATTGAACTTTTAAAGAAGTTACAGGAAAATTTGTTATTAGAAAATAAGAAAATCTTGGTGCTCTCATTCTTTAATAGTGTATACACTGTACATACATACAGGTGTGTACATGTAAGTGCTATCGATGAAAATCTGTTAACTGTAAACTTTAGTACATAATTTGTTAGGATGAAAGCAGATAAAAGTAAAGCTGTCCTGTGGTACATGTACTGTATCTGAACTTTAGATTCAATCTGATAGAATAATTTGTTTTTCTTTTCCGTTTACATTATCAAATGTATTAACCTTGTGAGACTTTCACCATTAAAGAAAAGTAAATGTAGATGTACAAATGTAAGTTGCAAAGGATTTGCAGTTACAGCACACATCTAGGCCTACATTGTACTACATGTGCATGTATGTATCTGTAGATGAAGTCGGGCTAACTCGGACCAAAGGACAGCTCGGCCCACCTGCAAAAACGGTCAGTTTTTGCAGGTTTAGGGTTAGGTTTAGGGTACGGGTACGGGTAAGGGTTAGATTTAGGGTTAGGGATAGGGTTAGAGTTAGGGTTGGGGTTAGGGTAAAATTAACAAAAATGACTGTTTTGCAGCTGGGCCGAGTTGTCCCGAAGGCCGAGTTGGCCCGGATTTCTGTAGATATACATGTATATGAATCCTATATTATGATTCAGATAAGGCAGAGAATCAGGCATGCCCTGAATAAACAGCACGTGCATATAAAGCACTTTGTGATGGGTGTGAACTGCTGCTCTCCTTTAGTACTTGATGCTCTTCAAGTCTTCAGACTTTATAGTGTTTGTCTTGGATAAAAGCCAAGTAAAATTATAGTGAGCTTTAAAAAAATACCCAGATTATGTGTAAACTGTACCTTTTGTCGGGTGAGTCAGTTAACTCTTCAAGGTTTGACTAAGCAAGGTGGGGTCCGAGACTCCGATTGTAAGTCTCGGTTTCAGAGCATGTTTTGTTGTTTAGGCTTTTTAACCAGGGAGTGTCCTTATGACTGTACGTAGATCTTAGTCACAAAGTTCCTGAAACTTTAAAAAAAAGATATAATATAAATATTTTGCAGTTGTTTGTGTGAGTATCATCCATGAAATACACCAGTGATGGTGCATGACTGAATATTGGAATATTTTCTGGATGGTAGGATTTTATTTTTCCCAGTGCCATGTTAAATCATAGGATACTAATCTATTTCTTTTATTGAATTTTTTCTTGTAAAGTACAGATAGAAACGTTCTCTTATAACGATGGCTGCTGCTAATGCATCGCCAGTTCACCTCGGTCGGACCCATGGCCAGGCCCAGCAGCGAATTCAGACTTCCGGAGGGGTCAACGCCAGTAGCGGCCAACACCCATGGTCAAGCGTCCCACATCACCTTCCAGGGGTCAACAATGGGACCGTCATGCCAGGCTACAGAAACAGGGACCCGTACGTAGCGGAAGATATCGACATGTACGGCCCAAGTAGGACTAACCTCCCTGGCCAGCAATTTCAGCAAAGCTCACCGGAAAACCACAAGGTGACCCAAAGGCGCTCGACGAAGCGATCACAAAGTCCAAACTCTGATGAAAACTATGAGACACATCATCTCAGGGCGCAGTTAGGAGGGTTAGGGGTACTTCAAGAACTTCTTGAGGATCAAAGAAACGAAATTAAAGATTTGCAAGAGTGTTTGGAGTTTCTTGTAAAAGTCACAGAGGAGAATGGTGTTTTTGTGGATCCGGCTTTGCTTGACAAACTTGATAAAGTGAGAGTGGGCAGTGTTACTTTGTCGGAAGCTCAGTGGTCTGTTGAACTGAAGAGACCACCTCCACTATCGATGCTGACACAAGCAGATGGAAGGGACCAAGTAAGGAATTTTTTCTTTCTTTTTTTCTCTTTCTGTTTTACGAGTGACTGATCATGAGACTAAACAATGGACTGTTTCAGTTTAAAAATGAAACATGATTGTCTTTATGTTTCATTTATAATTTGGCTACCTTTCAAAAAACTATTGTGAAGTAATATTTCATTTAATTTTTTGAATCAATTTTATAAGGGCTGAAAGCAATAAAAATGAAATGTTTCAATCATCTGTCATCATCTTACTACATGTATGTACATGTACATGTATGTTCATTTTTGGAAACTGAAAATTAATTATTTTTAATAAAAAAAACCTCCAAATTTGGAGGGATAATTTTCAAATTTTTCATGACACATTTTTGCGAATACAGCAGCTCCAGTTTGATTACGTATCATATAAGCCCTGTTTTAATTTTAATTTTTATTTAAAAATTGTGAAGAAATGGGTATTTTTATGTATTGCCAATTTTCTTGGAATAACAGGTAATTATTCATCATAAGTTTCTAGTATCAGTTTCACTTCCTTCTAGCAATTTCATATTTTGATTAATTAATTCCAGGATCTCCTTTAATGAATCTATTTTGATTGATTTCTCATGTTTTTGTTTAAATGTATTTTTGAGCAATCCTAAAAGCTGTGGAAGTATTTATTTATCCTAGCAAACAATTTAATGGTGATTTTCATTAATATTTTTTTTGAAGTTACATGCATACTGTATAGGTACACTGCTTCATGTACATGTACGCCCCTAATGAAAAAAAATCAAACTTAAAATATCTTGAATTTTATAAATCCTTTATCAAATTTTGGCGGGATGACATGGTTTTTCCCAGCAAATTATTCATAGGGGAAGTTATCATGCGGCGAGTAAATGGCAGTTTCATTTTTTTTAGAGTGTGTGCGCAGATGCGTTGCATGAGTTGTTATCTTGCAAAACATGCGATCTGCTCATACAATATAAATGAGCTGTGGGAATTCCCATCGGGCAAAGTTCACATTATTAAGTTAGAGTACATAAATGTACACCTTGTAAATTGTTAAATGTTTAGTCTTAACTCAAGGCTAGAGAGATTTTTTTTTTCCAAAGCTGTTTTGATTTAGCAGAGTATAAATCAAAGATAATTTATTTGTTTTAATTAAGGTGATATTTTAACAATAATAAGCAACCATTCACGAACTGGTGAAAGATGAAATCAAAATGTCTGAATTTTTTTTCCCAGTAGTCTAGAAAATGTTTTTGTCTGCTGGATCACTTCCTCCCTCACCAGACAATCAGAAAGAAAGGCAGACATAAATGCAGACAAAAGGCAGACAAAAATGTGTCAAAGCTAATATCATGTGCTTCCCCCCATGTACACAGTACATGTGCATTCATGATTGATTGTGATTTTTTGCTAGTAGATTGCGCAATTGTGCCCCAAATGAATTGTAAGTTTACTATAGAACCAACTCTTTTTTTCTTTTTTAACACTTTTTTTTCAACAAAGAAGCACCTATTCTTTTTGAAAATTATGATTTAAAACAAATGCAGTCCTGTATGAGAACACCCTTCATGCTAGGCTGTCATCCAATGAAGTCCAAAATTTGTAGATTTTTTTCAAAAACAGTTTTACACCAAGTTCTTGAGCATAGAAATTGTAGAGTTTAAATTAAACTAGATCAGATATGGAAATTGAGAATTCAAGTATAATAGCGAAATTACAGTATTGGCCAATCAAAATGCTCTTTATTTAAAAGTGTTTGTAAAAAAAGAAAGAAGATGATTCTGAAACCTGAAAATTTTACTTTACCCACAGACTACAAGATTAAAGGAGCAGCTCAAAGCCAAAGACAATAAAATCCAGAATCTTGAGAAGAAAATTATCGAGCTGCGGGAGGAGCTTCAGCTGTCATCAGATGAGAAGTCACAGGAGATAGCCAGGTTACAGGCTCAGCTACATGTCTATTCCGAGGATGGTCAGACCTCCAAGAATCTTTGCCAATCCTTGACAGGAGAAGCAGAAGTTCTGAGGCACAGGCTTCAGGCCGTGATCAAGGAATGTCAGGGACTTACCTCGGAGCTAAAGGACTTCAAGAGGAATACGCTCCCCGGCGGCCAGGTCAGTCTGAACTATTTAGCTTTCTTCGTATAAGGGCCATTTGTTTAGTGGGGGTGTCTTTTTAGTCCTGTCCCATTGTTTGTAATTGCACAGACCATGATCAAGCATTGTCAAGGACTTGACTCCGAGCTAATGATCTTTGAGTCAGTGCGAGTTGGTTGATCGTTGACCGCCTAGAGGCAATTTACAATTTGCGGTATGCAAACATCTTCTTCTTATTATTATTAATCTGAATTTGTTCACCCTGGACCCCTTTCCTCACAAAGCCTTTTTCCAATGACAAATGACAAAAATCAGTGATAAATCTGCTGATAACCAATCAGAAGCAAGGATTTCACTAGCTTATAAAACTGTCATTTGTCACTGATGACTGAAGTTTTGTGAAATGAGGCCCTGGGCATTATTTCACAGAACTATCAGTAGTGCGGGTTCCCTGAGATAACTTTGATATTTCAATGGGATGTCGGTGAACTCGTAATTGCATAAAAAATGCTTCATGAAACACTGCCCTGAAAATGACACAGACGGATGCCCGTCGCACGTGGGCTCTCCAAATCTAAGTCCAAAGACTCCAGACTACCAAAATTTCAAAATGTTAACAAGGTCCTCATGCATGTAGCCCGTAAAAATTGATTATACCTACATGTACATGTATGTACAAAAAAAGAAATTGTGCAGCTCTGTGTACTGAAGTTCATACAAATGGATTCTTGAAGCTTTATTCTTATTTCATTTGATTGTTACAGTAAATGAGAGCTTTTAAACAGATATCTCATGTGGTTTAATTGCCACTGTGCATATGAATTCAATATTTATATAAAACGATTGTCTACTTCAATCTATGTGAACTATTACAAAATACAAATCTTGCTGTGTATTTTAAATCCTGGTTCTGAATTTTGATCAACACTCATGGTTGATCAGAAATTTAAAAACTGAAATTCTTGTTGATACATGCAGATTTTGATGCGTATGGCTTCAGAATTCTTGAGTATACCTGTTATCTACTCCTTTAATCAATTGATTGTGACTCAAAGGAATATTCACATATTTGTTTTTGTTGTCAGAGAGAGATTAGTATTGCACATAAATGTAAAATACAAAATTCCCCTATATTGGTAATCCTAATCATAATGGTAATCTGTCAACATATGATGCCAAAAAATGGTGTTTGTTCATTTCATGTTTACCATGCAGTATTTAAATGAAAAATTAGTCTATTTAGTAAGACCTGATACATTTTAAAGTGGGACTATTTCCAATGCATAAACTCTCTTATTTATCTGGATACCAACATTTTATAAAATGCTTGAGGAAACCCAAGGTATAATATGCAGTATGCCTGTATTTTTCAATTTTCCAATTTTCCCTGCATTTTAATATTATTTACAGTAGAATGAAGCCAATTTGTTTTTATTTAGGTCTCTGAATAAGACTAGCAGGTCCGTGATGTGGCAACTGGCAAACAAGCAATCTACTGAGCAGACTTTTTAAAATCCATATCACTGCCAGTGCCAGCACATAAAACATTTTTATCTTATGTCTCCCAGACAAAGTGATGAAACAACTATACAGCATTTTTGTACACAAGTATATTACAGCATAGACCTACATTTGTCTATCCCAGTATAGACCTACAATAAATTACAGTGCATTTAAAGAACAGATAAAAGCATACAGCAGTCAGACCGCAGCCGGTGCGAAAACCCTCTATTTTATTCAGCACGTATGCAAGAATGTACGTGTCTTGCATACGTAATGAGTAGTGCAGACGGTCTTGCCGATCGGCAATTTTTGCCTTTATAATTGCTCATTTCTCATGAAATGGGTCTTATTTTAAAGATAAGAAGTTGCACTCTCTATATACTTATATGACACTCATGTTAGATATATTTTGGAAACAGATATTTCGCCTTGAAAATGAGGTTTTTCGACGATAAATCTATCTAAAGAGTAGGGCTGATTTTCACATAGAAATCATTCTTGCGTCAAGAAGATGTTATAATCAGCATAAAGCATAAATATTTTTCTTTACAATGATATCAAAATTATTATATTTTACGCTGTCCCAAAGTCAGGAACCAAAAAAGATCACGCTCATGTTTATGAATAATTAAAAAAAGTAGTAAATTTTGCCGATGTGATAATAGAGAGTTCTGATTGGTCAACTACGTCAACTACGTCACATATGTTTTGCTTTGGTTTATTAACATTCTGATTACCACATTTTGGTAACCATGCGTTGTGGCGTGCGCCTGTAATGCACGTGCGCGCAAGCCGTCTTGACAACAATCTAAGGACCCGAGATCAAATACTTCACCTGCCATATAGAAGATTCTTTTATACTATAATTCTTTTTTAATCATTTTTCTAATTTTTTTTTCGGCTAGTCGATGGCGCGGCGGAGCTCCCTGGAGTTTAATAATCAGTTATGCATTGCCATTGCTCAGACGGCGAGCGTGCACGAGTATGAAATCACACAATTTCGCGCTATCATAAAAAGAACAAATTGGTAATTTCCGGGTTTTTAGGGTCTTAATTACTATGATTATAAAAAGAACATGATTTTGCGTCAATTAGGTTTTGACATATTTTTGATCAGTGACTTTTCATCTTTCGAACGAATCTCAAAGTGGACAAATTTATTTTGTCCCAAAGTCAGGAACCAAAAGTGAAATTCCCGGGTCAAAACAGCAGTTGAAATGTTACAAAAATAACGTCAATAAAAGTTGTGAAAAATTATTGTTTACAAATTGCGAAATATGGCAAATTACATATCAAACTGATGCTGAAAATCTCGAGAGTGACTTTCCGTTGCATGCTGCCATGTTGAATGAAGTTAACGACCCAAAACGCAGCTACATGTACACCCCTACAAATCTCACTGAAAAGCGCATGGAAATTCAGCAGACGTAAATGTTATGTGATCGCCAGATATCGCTGAATAAAAATCAGCTTTCAGCCTCATTAACGCGCGCGCTGCGGTCTGACTGACAGTGTATATGGAAATTTGATGTACCTTTATTAATATGCTACAAACACTCTCTCATATTTGTGTTGGTATTCTTATGTATTTGGGGAAATTGAAATCTATTCCCAGGCTCTAGCCCTGGCAAGAATATTGTTTCATTGGATCTACACCTTTTCCTTGCTACACACAGCTGCAGAATCACTGTGCCATTTTTAACACTTTACTTTGAATGTCCTTTAATACAGTAGTGTAATGGGGAATTCCCCTCCATTGTTCAAGATTAAATTGGCATATGGCCAACTGTACAGCGTATACATGTACTTTGTACAGGGACACGTTATATACACATCGAAAGTGTACATAATATTTCATAGAACAATGCCACATCTACAACTAATATATAATGGTTTTCCATTGGATTGTTTAAAAACAAATATTATGATGACCTGGAAACTGAGGTGGTGTGGAGAGTCCTAGTAGAAACAAAAGAATAGTCATACTTTTTTTTTAATGCTATTGTTATCCACCTTGATAGTATTATTTAGATCTATATCAGAATGTACATTGGTTTAAGTTTGTCTTGAATAATCTCATTTTATTGGACATTCCCAGGGGTTTAAAATTACAATCCTATTTATTAAAAAAAATAATCCAAAACAGAAAAAACAATAACTTCAAATTAAATCCAAAGAGGGGTCCAGTGAATAACTACATTATCAAAACAATATTTTTTTAACTGACATAAATTTATCAGAATCCTTTTTGCTTTCACACATGTGAAGGTTCTTGGATAATTTCATGATTAAAATGTACTTCTGGGTTTCTGCAAGTTGTTACAAAGGGTACTTTTCTTAAATATTTCGTAAGAATTGCACATGTATTATTTTCTTTCAAAACAAGTCAATAAGAAGTTTGTTTTTGGGCTTGTAGTTCCTCATTTTCAGGGATTTGCCTTCAGCATATTTTCTTTTCAGCACCTTCTTGTTGGCATTTCCTTCAACTGTTTGATTAGGTAATTTAATTATTGCTGCAGAACTTCCTCATTTAAGTTAAATGAACCATATCCACAAGGCAATCAATCAGTGTACTTTGCTGGGTTTCGTAAGAGGCACTGGAGCCTGGCAGTGATTTAAAGGATACAAAATGTTAAGGATTTCCTTTTGGCGTTGGCGTGTGAAAATGTGATTGTTAGGGTTGGTTGTGTGGTTACGTGGCCATGATTTGAATCACTTGTTTGTGAGTTTCCTGGTTCCCGTCCCAGCTTGTTACTGTATCTACATGTAGCCAGTTCTTGGAGTAAGTTTATTTCCCTCTTGCTGCTAGGTTAGGTAAGACTTTTTTTGAGTAGATGAGTTGATAGCAGACTTCCAAAAACTAAGAAACCTTAAAGTAATCTGCTGGGATGGGATATACTTTCCAATGGCATCAATTCTTTATACAAATTTGATAAAGCTTTAGGCCTCTTTATCTCTCCTGCCGTATATGTAGGTATTCACCATGGATGAAAAAGCCTAAATTGTAGGCATCAAACCACAAAAGGGAAAAGAAGAGAATTATGATGACATCTTTTCCTGCAATAAGCTTTTTTTTTTTCTTCTTCTTTTTTAAAAACTTCATTCAGGTAACCCAACGCTAAAACAAAAATGTTTCCTTCAAGCTACATGTTCAAATTAACTTTTTCTTTCCTTTTTAGTTTAAAGACGAGGAAATGTTTTTAATGATTTAGTTGAATGACATTCTGTGGTATTTTTGTTATTTCCTGATTATTTTTTTCTCAGCCTCAAATATAGAACTTCAAAATAAATATTTTAATGATATCATTTTCTTTTTAATGAAACCATATGGAATTTTGATACTCAAGCTAGAGGGAATGACATTTTGATTTGATTGTATCTGAGGTAAGGGATTTTTAAAGTTATTTTTATATCTATTTATTGTTTTCAATCTTTACTCTGATAATCTAAACAAACTAACAAAAAAAACCTTTACCATATAAAGGTGCAATAAAAAAATTGTGATGATTGGGTGATTAAATAGTATTTTATGAGTATACATGTCTATATAAACAAGGGTAATAGGGTTAGTGATTCATTCTGACATCAATTGTTCAAACCAAAACCAACTTGGATTACTTTGGTTAATTTGAATATTGAATCACCAGTGACTGGTTTTTACCAAAATACAGGTGAGTAGTCTTGTACATACCATGTAACATCTGAAGAATTTTTGCAAATTTTATAACTGCCAACTACTCTTCTTTTTTCCTGAGGAATGATTCCTGAATTTTTTGGCCTTCAAACTCATACTTTGAACCCTTAATTCCTCCCCCCCCCCTGAAAACTTGTAAAAAGATATGCAAAATAGACTGAATTCCTAATTTTGCCATGCGAAATTTGATTTTTTTTTTTTTTTTTTTTTTTTTCTTCTCTGAAAGCTTCAAATTTGTTTGTAGTGTAACTAAAATTAAATGATTGATCAGGATATCTCCAAGAAATTTCTGTTGTAAATATTATTTATCAGATCATGGGGGAGGGGGGGGGGTACAGGATGTGGGGTGAGAGGGGGAATGATTAGGGGCTGATCAGTACAGTGTTATACAGTTTCAAACACAAATTTATTCTATATTTGATATTGAGAAAATTTAGAAAATGTAAAATAATAAAAATACTATACAATAGGTTTATGGTTGCTCCAAGTGACAGAGAGGGGGGGGGGCGGGGGGGAGGATTGGGGAGTCCTGAAAAGGACTGTTAGTAATCTTTCTTTCTTGAGTGTGTGTGTAGTCCTGAAAAGGACTGTGTATAGTCTTAAAAAAATATCTGTGAAATAAGATATCGTCGAGTGAACCCTTATGCAATGACTTTGTTAAGTCCAGGGAAAAGTTTTGAAAAACCCGCGTGAATATTGAAGTCCTGCAATTGTTCATGAAGACAATTTGTGCATGACTCTCGAGTTTTGACATGAATACAGCAATGATTAAGTGCATGATGCATCATTCAGTTGAGCAATTGTTTCAAAAGTTCATGATGACACTTTTGACAGTACTTGAAGATCGGCCCTGAACTTATCAAGTTAACCGCTTATCAGTTTTGTCACAATCCTCCCATGATGCAATGCACCTTGTTCATTATTGTACTACTCACCAGCATTGCGTAAATTCAGTCTACTGCCCCAGTGACTTTCATTGTTGCCTGCTTGAACTTGTGACATGTCAAATCCTGTTTATTTGTTAGTTATGGTGTTGACAAATAAGTCACATGGCTTTGCGTAGATTAAATGGCAGAAGATTCTGGCAGATTGCACAATCGTTGGAAGTGCTATTGAATGACAAGTACAATGTATACAGTATGTGTGGATTACATGTATATCATTCAAAATGCCACATGAACCACATGTGATAAAATCCTGATGCGTCATAAAAAGAAAAATCCCTAGCCATCCGATATAATATCTAAATTAGCAGTGATGTAATGTTTGTGTATAAAAGACCAAGCATGTATTTGATTATTCTGATTCTGTTTGAAGGAACGGTTAGTCTCAGAATATTGTAAGTCTTCTACAGTACGTGTCTCTTTTTCTGATAATATTGTATAAAATATTAATTATGTTTTGAGGCATAACATTAGGCCTTCATGCATTATCATGATACACATGCTACTTGTATTAAAGGTTTTATGTGATTGTTTCGTTTGTGCTAGTTATTAACTTGTTTTAACAAAATTATATTGTGTAATACACATTTTATTTGTGATACTTGAATACTAGAAAAGGGTGCCCATCTACTGTTCATGATTTGATTAAAGTGAGTGTGATTTCATGCTTGTTATTTACAGGTTGACTCCACATCAGATATGATGGACAACCCAGTACCCTAATAATCTAAACATGAAATTAATTGGTTTCAAAACTTGAGTATTATGTGGAAGATTCCTTGCATCTTTCTCACAGGTTTAATCCACACCAGGTTTAACTGACAACAAAGACAAATACATACTTTGTTTCATGACTGTAGTATATAGTGTAAAAGATCTCCTGCTTCTTTTTTACAGGTTGAGTCCACACCAGGCTTAATTGACAACACAGAAAACCTTAATGTATTAAAATACATACTTTGTTTCATGACTGTAGTATAATGTAGAAGATCTCCTGCTTGTTTTTCACAGGTTGAGTCCACACCAGGCATGATGGACACCCCGGTGAGCGTAGAGAACCAACTGAAGATCACAAAGAGACAGCTGGAGCAGCTGGAGCAGGAGAAGAAGCAGCTCTCCGACCAATTCAAGGAGGTGACCAGGATGAACAAACGTTGGCAGAGGTACAGTCAGCAGCAGGATGTGGCCAAAGGAGAACTGACCCAAACTAATACTGATTTGAACAACAAGAATAAGGTTAGTTACAACTTAAAGGCATCATTTAACAATGTTAAATCTGAGATGCACGGCCCTACATGTTATCAATGTCTGTGATATGGTGTAATATTGAAGCTCTAAAATAATCGTGCTTCAAAATGATTTAGTGCCTCAAAAAAGTAAAAATCTTTGAGTGACCAGTTATACCATACTCATTTTACAACATTAGACTGTAGTGTTATGAAATCGTTTGGCAAACAGTTTTCAAAATTTGTAATTCCAATCATAAATATCTTGATAATCGGACAGGCGATCGGCTTGTAAAAGTCAGGGGGTTCCTGACTGACTTAAAGGTTTATAATTATCATTGCAGCATGAGCTAAATCCAGGATTTTGTTTCAGAATCTGAGAAAAAGTTACTGAATCCCTTTAATAGCTTGTGGTACAAAATTAATATTGTCCTCCTTTTCATTGTGATCATTCCACAAAGAAAATATCTGTCCCATTTTGTAGAAATGAATCGTATATGAATCTACATTTTTTCTATGCAATAAATTTCCTCATAATAAAGAGCTGATATATGTATATAGTGATGATGGCCAGTCCTTCTGTCAAATGTGGAAAAATCTCCTCTTATGGGGATAGTTCCATATATTTGAAAGGAGAGAACAACAGTTATACACAATCTAGCCTCATCTCTGTAAATAAAGAACTTCATTAAACGAGTAGAATACTCTATAAGCAATTAATATTTTGTATAAATCACTATTGAAACATGCATAAGTTGAAAACATAAGCAAACTGCTCTTTTGCTTTCGGCTTTGACCTCTGCTGACCCTTTGAGCAAACACTCTTCAAAACAGATTTTTCTCTTTTGATGACAACCCCCTTTTCCATATAGGTCTTAGAAGTGCAGTGCAGAGACTACGAAGAACTGATGAGCAAACTTCAGAGACAGAGCCAGGAGAACGAGGATTGCACGAGGCACCGACGCGTCGACAAGACGGAAGCGGCGCACAAGGACGACATCATCAGAAGACTTCAGAAGGAGGTCATTGACCTCGAACATGATGTCAGGCAAACTAGGCGAGACAGCAGGAAGTATGACACCGAGGTCGTGAAACAACAGGTAAGGAAGGCTTCACTCTAGTTATTATTCCTACTGAATGGTATACCTATGTACTTTAGGTTGGTCCAACGTACATGTCTTCTCTGGCAACATTTCATTCTGGCTAAATCTGTCAGAGATGTACAAAATGTAGGTTTAGGGATAGGGTTGTGATTGTGTTCTAAATGAATGTAGGTTAGAGTTTATAGTCATAGTGATTGGACCAAACTTAGTGTAGGAATTTACAGCCGAGCAATTGTCTTCAGAGCATATATTTATATTGTGCATGAGAAATAGAAGAAAAAAAGAGAAATAGAAAATATTTATATTATTCTATATTTAATTAAACTATTTATACAAATGTCATGAATATTCATAGGATGATGATAACAGTTAGCAACTTGATTTCTAAAGCACATTATTTCTGATTATACAAAGCACAAATTACTATTAATTCCCAGACTTTGGCTAAACCATAAAGAGATGCTCAAGCATTTCTTCCTATATTTTTACTCCCATTCATTACATATCGGCCGAGAGTTGCAAATGCAGATGAATGTTTTTTTAGAGGACTTCACCGCCTTTGCATGGATTTGAACCCAATATCATGGGGTCAACAGTCCCATGACTTAACCACTAGACCACAATAGATATTACTAATATCCTATATCTCCCTAGTGAGAGTATGTTCAAAGGGGATTTTCTTTTTTGCACAAACTTTTTTAAAATACTGAATTGAGGTCATCTGTTGTGTGACTTCAAGAGCAAAATCATAAAAACCCTGAAGTATCTTCCGTTATCACTTCCTGCAATGAACCACTCACTTCCACACTTTCGCAATGTCTTCTTCATCATTTCAATATGATTAGTACATGGGTTTACTATCATTTACTGACAAAACAAAGGATTTCATACAGGAACAGTAGTTTATTATCTGAAAGAACAATTTGGAAACCCTGGAGCTGATACAGCTGTGTTAATGTGCAGAACACTTTCCTGTAATAAGTAACAGATGGTCACGCTTTTGTTCATTGTTCAGTGAAAGAGTGTTGCATCATTTTATGGTTTATCAATTTTTACAGCAAAACAAGATAATTTAATCTGTTCAGGGCCAAAAGGGCATTGTGTGAAGTACATGATTTAAAGCCCTTCTGCGGGCTCCAAACCGGCGATCTATAAAGGAAATCTCTTTGCTGTCTGGCATGACGGTATAGAATATATGTAGATGGAGCTGTGATTGTATAGAACACTACTTTCTTTGATCAGAAAAAGATGAATGATCTTAAAACAATTGGATACTTTATTTGATTGAGAATAAAAGCGGATCTGCTTTGAGAAGCACTCGATGACGTTCGCACAATAAATCACATCGTGATCATCACTCTCACTAGTCTCAGTACAAGGCAGTTCAAGGTTGCTTCATTTTATCAACTGAGAACCCGGAAAATGTCAAATTTTCTATAAGAATCATGACCTATAAGACCTTATTGGACCAACTGCTCCCTACATGTAGATACACCCTCCTCCTCCATCCCCCTCCACCACCCCCTCCCCCTCCCCCATTTCAAAATCCTGTATCTCCTTTGCTGAATGCACACCCACATTGTAAGAACAGGATCAAGACTAAGTTACACTCGTGCGCCATACTTAAGTGAAGTTCCCTTTCCCACGTGCAAGATTTTGAGATTTTTATTCCTCTCTAGACAATGATGCCCCATGTACATTTACATTCAGTTTTTAATGAATGGGGGATGTTATTCCTTCTTCTTGTCATTGTATACAAAGGATGTTTACATCCTGGTTTAAAGTGCAGTGTTTTCCTTGAATCAAATACCACATCCCATTTGTACTGGTATTTGATTTATTGGTGATATCATTGGATATAAGAGCTCAAGAACAGCAGAGAGAAGTGAAGAAAGAATAATGTCAGTGAACTATGGAAATCTCATGGGACTTTCCATGAAGTACATGAAAGGAAATGTCAATATATACAGCAAGGAAGCATCCTATACGATAATGTTTATATTTAAACAGTTTTCTTTACATTGTCCAAGTGTTGTCTGAGCTTATTTCACAAGAGCCATATGATATACTTGTAGGTTGCAGTACAACAATACATTTAGGGAAAACTTAAGTACACTTGTAAAAAATGAAAACATTTATATATTTCTCTCTCTCTCTCTCTCTCTCTCTCTCCCTCTCTCTCTCTCTCTGTCTCTCTCTCTCTCTCTCTCTCTCTCTATATATATATATATGTTATATAGAAATATTACATTTTAATGTTGTAATCAAAGCATCTCAACATTATTCTGAAAAAAAAATTACTGCTTTGGTTTAAAAAGAAAAAAGTCTAAAAGTAGCTGTAATGTTTTATTTCTGACACAAAAACATATTCAACAGTATAGTCGTTTTTCACATGGAAGACCCGTTAAATTCTTGTCAAAGCAGTAAATCATGATTTGGTAACGAACATGTACGGTACATGTATTATATCTGACTCTCAAACATAAATTTACGATTACTTTTTTCTTGTTACAGCTCAAGCAGTATACTGAAGATTTCCAGAAAGAACATATCGAGAAGGAAAAACTGAAGAGAGAGAACGCCATCTTGAATAGGAACTCCCTGGAAGCTGAAGAACTTGTCCGCCAGCTGAGTAAACAAGTAAGTCAAGTCAGAGGGTATCTAGAATGTTAATTATAACCTGTCTGTAAAGCGCTTAATACATCAACAATGTATCTAAGCGCTTTACAGGTACCCATTTTATACACCCAGGTGGAGAGTGGTAAATGTAGATTAACGTCTTACCAAAGAACGTTAGTGCTGGGCTGGGGATTGAAGCCCTTACATTGTGGTCTATAGTCGGTGACTTATCCACTAGACCACAGCACCTCTACATGTTTTTCTTTTTCAATTTTATAAACACTATACGATGAATACCATTGTGTTTAAATATGAATATGGTCAAAGAAATATATTGCTATTGATTACTACAAGTATGAGAGGATAGTGGACAACCACGTAACAAAACAAAAAAAATATATATACAAAAATCCTTGTTCCTTTGATATTTGAAGTCCAAATATTTTTTATATCATTATGTTCACTTTTCTTACAGCTTGAAGGGACAAAGAGAGAGAAGCATCAACTTCAGAGAGAGAACCAACAGCTGCTGGCAGATAGGAGAATGAATGCTGGTTACCTACATGTACTGCCAGATAACCTTCATAGAGTAAGTATTCCTCAAATTTTATAGAGAGATACCAGCTAAGGTGGTAATAGAGTACCGAAGCTGTGACGTCATAAAAATCTATTTTTAGAATTTCTCAATTTTTTTCTTCATATTCCGAAAGAATATCACAAATAATGTCCAAATGTCGAAAAACTAATTGCATATGTTAAGTATTGGCTGAGATGTGACCATCTGAATAAATATACTCCCCATATGAACTCAGTGTTATATGCTCTGGCTCCTAATGGTTAGGAGCCAGAGCATATAACACTGAGTTCCCGTAGGACATATATTCATTCAGATGGTCATATCTCAGCCAATACTTAACATATTCAATTGGTTTTTGACATTTGGACATTATATTTGATTTTCTTTCGGAATATGAAGAAAAAATTGAGAAATTCTAAAAATAGATTTTTTTATGACGTCACACTTCACCACTCTATAGAACCATAGTCATTTCACAATGTATGGCATTGTACTGCACCCAAGTAATCTTGCTTCGTCTTGATTTGATGACTTCATTCATGACATTCTCTCTCTCTTCTTTATTTAACAGGAGAGGAGAGAACTGACTCCCCATGGCATGGGTCAGAATCACTCGGTCATCTCGTTGGACAACTTCCCCACCCTGCCCAAAGACGTCCAGCACGACGGGCCCTTCAACCACCCCCACTCTGCCCCCTCCCGCTCCCTTGCATCCCTCTCCATGATCTCACCTCCCATCTCTCCTCCCGTCCCATCCCCAACCCCATCCCCGTCGGACAAAGACTCGGTGGACTGCGGGGTCAAAGGTCAGAAGTCGTCCTGTAGCGACGAGGAACCTCTGCAGTGCCCTCGATGCCTGAGGGAATTCCCTGTCGTGAAACATTCAGATTTCATGAGGCATATAGAGCAGTGTCTCGACCAGTGATAAAGGCTTGACAGGTGATGTAGGGAGAGTACTTTTACAAAAGGAAGCAAGAAACATCTCAAATCTCTACAAATTATGTTGAAAAATATGTCACCTCGACATTGCAATCGAGTTTCCAAATATCAGTCACAAATTTAACTTTAAAAAATATGTGTCAAATTTCAACTGTAGTGTCCCTTTCCCATACTCATCTTTGATGTTGTTGATGATAATCATAATCATCATTAGCCAAAATTCTTTGAAAATTTGAGTGGTTCAAACTGCTTGTGGTAATGTTAAGGATAATAACAAAATATTAAGGACTAAAAGTATGCTATGTTGTTCTACATAGACATATCCAAATTTTACTCTCTTTAGAGATACACCAATCATTTGGAAATGCCCCTTGCTTTATTAAAACAAATGAAGTGTTTGAGATTTGTGCATTTTGTTTCTTGCTTCCTGTTTTCAAAGTACTCTCTCTACATCACCAGTAAGCCAGTCTACTCTGACGTCCAAGTTGATGATGAGGTAAACTAGTTTTCAACCAGTCACCATGTGTGTATTGTCTGGATCTAAATTGGCAACACTCATGGTGAAATGAAAATACCTAAAGTAGTCTCTTTAAATAACGTATAATCTGGTAACAGGCAAAGAGAGAATTTTTTATAGGAATGAATCTATTTTTCAATGCTTGAAACTTAATGTTAAATTCATTGGCATTGATATGTGATGTATGGATGTATGTTAACAATAATTAAGAATGATATAAGGATTGGGAGAAGCCTCTGAAACATATAAAGAGAAGAAAAAAATTAGTTTGTGGAATGAGAATAATAGTGGAATATAAAGGGAGGGGATAATCAGACTTATTATTCTATCCGGCACAAGATTAAAAAATTGCTATCTTATTTGAATAGCATGTATTAAAATGCCTTTTTCATTCATCAAAATGCAGTCAGTTTTTCCAAACCTGACAAAAAAGGAATAAGTAAAGGATGAAAGGGGGGAAATAGTCCACATGAATTATCTGCTAATATGTACATTGTTGAATTCTCTTTAGTGTCAACTCTTCAACTTTATTGTTCTCTATCACACTCTTTACTTTTAGGAATTATGTATGTTTTTACAACTCTTCTGGAAGATTGTTATTTTAGTCACTGCCAATCAGCATTTGTAAATCAGAAAAACAATACAGATATAAAAGTGACATGTATAAGGAAATGTCATATAGCAAAATGAGCGTACATACTACAAAATGAATGCAGTAATTCTGAATGCAGATAATTCTGAATGCAGTTAATTCTGAATGCAGATAATTCTGAATGAAGATAATTCTGAATGCAGTTAATTCTGAATGCATTTAATTCTGAATGCAGATAATTCTGAATGCAGTTAATTCTGAATGCAGATAATTCTGAATGCAGATAATTTTGACAGCAGAGTTATTTTTGCTTTTGAACATTTCAACATTTTTGACAAAATAAACTAAGATCTTGTCAAATGGCTGAGCTTATAAGCATTATATGCTGCTTGTAAGTGTTGGCTTGCATGGTGATGTAGATATACAGTAGGCTTGCGGGTGCACCATGTGAGAGAGAGAGGGAGAGAGAGAGAGAAGATTGAGGACTCTCGGTAATCTTTCTTGAGGGTGTGTAGTCCTGAAAAGACTGTTTGTGTAGTCTTGAAAAAGACTGTTGGTTATCTTTCTTAGCTTATAGTTCTAAGGAGAACTATAGCGCTTGGAGAGGATGAGTGGCGGGAGTGGCGGGAGTGGCTCAACGTTTTGAACAGGTTGACTATCCGTCGTCATTGTATCAAACTTGCAATTGCACTTACGTTTACTTCATTGTATCCTATTGAAACTGTCTTTGATTTATTGTATATATGTATTGACTTTGTTCAGTTCAATGTAGTGTACATACCGACTTTTACCACCAAAGAAAAGACTTTGACCATGTTTTGCTAAAGTTCAATCGGACACTGGATTTAAACTTGGTCTAAATTCTAGTTAAACAAAAGGATTTAGACCAGGCTCTTGCTTTGCCCTTCGTTAAACATGACTTAGGCCCTGTGTCTTAAAGTGTACCAATCACTTGAAAGATAATTTGTGTGTAAGTAGAATGTGTAAAATCAACCTAAGAAAACTTATGAGCTAACAGATGAGGAGTATGAAGAAAATAAAATATAACTTGAAACTGCGCACACAGAACCCAGGTACCCGTTTCACAAAGCCTCTTTTCAATGACAAATGACAAAAATCGATGACAAATCTGCTGATAAGCAATAAAAATCAAAGGCTTATAACAAAAACTGTCATTTGTCACTGACTTCAAGTTTTGTGCAATGGGGCCCAGGACAGACTTTGGTTCATTGCCATGCACAGGTGCATTTAGTAGTCTACTCACTAGGTGCCTTAATTGTAATTGAAAGTGTATCTAAACTTGCAAATTCTCTTTACAGAAGTGATATTTGAAGCTCATTTTTTGCAACATGGAACTACTAACATACAAACCAAAATTATTTCTGTTGATTGGTATACTTTCATTAGTAAAATAAAGAACTTCAAGTGAATGAATCGGTTGCTGCATTTGTTGCATGGCGTGCCAGGGTTTTGTGAATCAGTACTAGAAATATTCTGTGAATTGAAATGTAAGCTCAGGTTATGATCCCTGTAGTTAGTTTAATAGGAGTAGATCTAGTGAAAAGGGCTGTAATATTCATGTATGTAAAGGTTTCGTTTTTACTTCCCCTAAAAAAAGGAGCTAGTGTTTTCATTGAAAACTGTTTCACTTACAAAGTGACAATTTTACAATGATGATCCTATCAGTGCAGTTGGGAACTAATCGCGCCTGAAATTCATCTTCTGTCCAAAAAGCAGGCTTGCAAAAAACTTGAAATAGCAAATAGAAATTGAGTAGATAGGATTAGATAGATCAATCATAGTGTCGTTTCATCTGTGTTAGATGATAGATGAAGAAGCTAGAAAGATATGAAGGGGCGACGATTGTATTAAACAGGAAAATTGATTTGTGAGTGTTACAAACTAGGCAAGATACGCTTTCTCATACATTTGACCATTTGAAGGAACTGTTTATCAGTGGAATGAAACTAATTACCATTGTGAAAAATCTTTGTTAGAAGTTTTAATAATGTAAGTAAACAAAGAAATATTAATATGCCTATTAAACCAGTCTGTAAAGAGCTTCAAAAGTTGATTTTGTAATCTAAGGTCCTCTAGTCTGTAATGGTGATTAATTTTTCCAATTTTATTTCAAGCAGTGTATATATGCATATCTATAATGGCTCACAATCAGAAATGGCATGTAAAACACATGTAAATTCACCACTAAAGAATCAGCTTATTTTAAAGTCTTCTGAGTTTGTGTGTATTATTCAAACTTTAATTCTGCACCACTATAAAAATGAGGGTTACTAAACAGTTTTATTTTATGTCAATATCTGTATTATGTTCATTCATAGCGCTTAGAGACTTCGGTGGTAAGCGCTTTATAAGTAACGTTTTTATTATTATTTATTATTATTATTCATATACCGCATATAACATTTATAGAATTTATTGTGGACAATTTTTTTTACCCCTCTTCTTGAACCCAATAGCAGGCCCCCTCCCCCTCCATTTATGTAATTGATATATACATGTTTATCCTTCAATATATATTCAAGATGTATCCTTTGTATTAGATCAGGTTTAGGCAGATTTTTATTTGTATTACATTATGGTCAAATAAGAATCTCAATTATAAGGCTTGATAGCTATTATTTTTCAAATATCTAAATATGTTTATGATTGTTTGTATGCCCTGAATTATTTGTAGTAGTATTTGGCAAAACCTATTGATAATTATTGTTTTTATTACTCTTATTCATATATTGATTTACATATAATGTGGTTATAAATCATAATAAATATCTATATAATATGAATCCAAATGCATATACAGACTTATCTATGTCACTAGCCAGTCCCTCTAATATTGTATCCAATTGCAAAAACTAACAATGCAAAAATGGATAAACTTAATCTCATATATTTTTATATGTTGTACATTTCTTTGTCAGATGTGTGGTTTAGGAATTGAATCCAATGACAGCTGTAATAATAATTACAATGTGGACCACTTGGGAGCATATATTCCATAAAAATGTTACTATTGTTATTATAACTAACATGTATTCCAAGATAACAGTGTAGAGGGGGATAGTGCATATACTGTAAATGACATAACATTTTTTTGTTCAGTTTCTTTATATTCGGTTTTGTTGATTATATGCCCATGTGCCCTACTGTTAATAAAGACAAAAAAGGTATTGTAATTGTGCAAATATAACATAACAATATATTTGTTTCTTTCAATTGTAATACATTGTATATTTTCAAATGCCTTGGAGAGCAATCATAACAAACTTATTAGTAAACTTTTAAGTTTTCGCACTTTTTGTGAAATGAAAAAGAAATTAATATATCCTTTGTTAAAGTAAGTCTATCTTTTATCCTTATAACAGACTGTATAGGATTTGAATAATATTATCAGATTAAAAATACCTATTAATACAGCTAATTGATTTATATAAAATCATAAATACATTTATATTGTTCTATTACAATGGGCTTGGATGTATAATAATTTCATCTGTGTTTTAAAATTTGTAATGTTGTTAAAAATTCTTTTATTATTGTTTATTTAATAACATTTCAATACAATGATTTTAGTCCTTTTCTTCATGTTATTCATCCAGGAACACTTCAGTTATATATTTTTTGCTAATGCCCCTGAAAAATGCAAATTTTCTAAAATTAAACTCTATTTAGGATATGTTTTTAATTTTAAAAAAGTGTATGATACTTCATAGGCCTAATACTCCAATCATATACTTTTATCACACAAAACGTTTGTGGAAGAAAAAAAAAGGACAGAATAAATATTCATACTCATTCAAAGTGAAATGGAGGAGAAAACTTCATAATTAATTCCAAAGGAAGTGATCCCTAATATGACTCCCGTGTGGATTCCCACTCCTATAAAGTTGATTCCCACTCCGCTACATTAAATTTCTATCCTGTATGAAATGTTGGTTAATACGAAGGAAAAAAAGCTCTCAGTTTTTCGTTGACATCTTGTATAATTTTTTACAAATTTACATTTGAGAGTGTGTTTATGAAAGTGCCATCTCTATCTACGATAGAAAAAAAACTGTTTTACCAATTGATAGATATTAGTTTTGTTGTGTCTTGTACATGTAATGTTTTCTCTTGAAATAAACTCTAAATAGGATGCATTTCTTCTGAAAACTACCCCAAATGTGGAACTGTCTTTAATTTTATGTTGAAAAAAATAAATCAGTACTGTCTTCAAGATTTGAAATTAAAAAAAGAATACCGTTTCTGAACATGGATTCGCCAGAAGATGGCTCTATTGTTACCCCCACATCTCTCTCTCTCTCTCTCTCTCTCTCTCACACACACACACACACACTAGACACTTTTTTAGAATAACACGCCACCACACACCCACGCGCTCACACCCACACACACACACACGCGCACACGTACATTGTTTTCTCTCTCATTCTTTCTCTTTCTCACCCAGATTCACTCCCTCTCTGCGTCTTTCCCTCGATATTGCTTGTTGGAAGTCTTTTTTTTTATCTCTAGTATAATTATATTATTGTCTATTCTGAGCCAGAAGGGCTTTAACTGTTCGTTAAAGTATATGAGGTAATACCCTTCTGGCACCAAACAGACGATCTGAGTGAAAGGGAGGCGGAAGTTAAACTTGACATATATAATTGTAGCTAAAGAGAAGAACTTTCGATTCTGTTGAAAGGATGAAAAACCTATAAGTAATTAATGTGTCAGAATATTAGTTTTGAAAGCCTTGGTTTTGATTACTCGTTAATTTTGTTAAAACTATAACTGTCTGGTTGTCACAGCATTACAGCTCCATTCAGCCTCCATTCACAATCATAAATGACCCGACAAATTGTTGGTGAAGCATTGTATGCGACATACATGTATTTTACTAACCTCTCTGGTTTGTGTCTTGTAAGCGAGAAGTACTAGGAGGAAGTCGAATCGATCTGAGACGATTTACACCATGTGCTGTACACCCGGGCTGTACATGTATCTAAAGGAATCTTTGGACACATTATCGAATCACATTTGATCGGGTTTTACTTAGATTGAACGATTTAAATGTTATCAGATCAAATCACAGCCTTAGCTTGATCGTGTGCGGATAATCAAGGACCAATACTTAGTGGTTAAGGAACATGGTTGAGATTGATTAGGCATAGATCCTGAGTTTTCAAGATCGAGTGATGCTGCTTCATCCACACTGATCCAGTATTATAGGCGGAATCGCTAGTAAGAAACACTAGAGAAAAGTGATCCGAATTGATCCACACTGATCAAGAACAATGCTACATTTATCCCTATCATGCTAGCGAAGTCGAGTGAAGCAGATTGATCCAACTCTAATCGAGACCTAGTGAGCGGAATTGATCGGGAATGCTCGCGACCAAGTGATTTGGACCCAGTTTGCTACCTTCTGGAATCCAGGCGCTACTGATTTGGAACAGCTTAGATCAGGACAGTGATCGAGAACCGAGCGGGACTGATCGGGAACAACTTACATCACGTGCTTTAGATCCATCCACTTTTCGGAACGAGGAGGAATTGATTGGGAACAGGTGATATCAAGTGATTCGGATCCTCCTACGTTCCTGAACGAAGCGGGATTATTTCAGAATAAGAGAGATCAAGTGATTCGGGTACATCAACTTTTCTGAACGAGACGAGGTGGAATATTTATTGATCGAGAGCAGCCGAGATCAAGTGATTCGGATCCATATACCTTCCGGAGCGAGGTGTAATTGATCGAAGACAACTGATAATCTTTGGAGAGTGATCCAAAGAAACTTAACTAATTATTAAGAGATAAAGAAGAAGCGATGTCGAAGAAAAACAAGGCACCAGATATTCAAGTGAGAAGTGGAGTCTTGTCCTGCTTTAATTACAAAAAGAAGACTCTGCTGCAAAAGGTATGTCGTAAACCATAATTATATTCATGGGCGGGTCGAGGATTCTGAAGGGGAGGAGGGGGAGGGGGGGGGGGGGGGGTCTCAAAATCTTTGACAATTTATTTTTCATATTTTGCACTTGCCTCTTAGGGTCTACATTTTTAAGGGATACAATAATTTTAGGAGGCACATGTAATTAAGGTATGTCAGATTATTATTGTATTCTTTTTTTAAAGGGAGGAGGGGGAACAATTTTTTACACCACCCTGAACAAAGCCAATTCATAGGAGTTTTATTGGGACTTCTGAAAATCATGCAGGGAGGGGGGGGGGGGGTGGGCTGCAATATTTCAGAAAGAAAAACATATCTGGCCATTCATTATTTCTATCGCACTCCTGGATACTCTCCTGAAACTAATTAGGCGGCAGTCTTTTGACATACAGTAGTTGGAGTACGTGCCGATGTACGAAACTGCAACCTGGTCTGATTAACGTAATAAAATCATAATTAGTCTGCCATAACATTAATGATGGTGGGCGGCGGGCCCAATATAGAACGGTGGACCTACTAGCATTTCAATCAAAGCTATCTAAACGACAAGACATTGATCTGCGTTCAATATCTTTCTCTGCAATCCTGGACAAAGCAGACGGATTTGTCTGTCTAAACATGAACCTAACCATAACCCTATCCATGAAACAAATTGCCACCCTAACCCTACAACCCTGGCGAAGAAAATCCCGTAGCAATAATATTGTCGGGTCACGTCTTTTTAGAGATTACTTTCGTGTTTCTTTATGCATCATCAGGAAGCATACGAATTGTCCCCAATGTACTGGAAATGCTTCCGCCAGGGGACCAGCGGAACTGTGATCATGCAGGGACATCGGAGTGAGATGTCCAACAAAGGCAAACCTCGGGTCAGCATGGTTGTCAACGGCTGCACGACCGAACTGCTGCCACCCATCCTCAAGTCGAAGGGCACAGATTACGCGGGAAACGATAACTACCTGGGCATCCAAGCCGAGGACGACAAGATTGTGTTTCTGAAAGCTGAAGGGAGGTAGGTACTAGCTTTCTCAAAAGCTCCCTTTAGCAGTTTCCTTTAGCAATCTACTCTTTAATTGCAGTAGCGGAGCGTGGATCCAGCAAGGAGCCCTGCATGATGTCATTAGATCAGGCATCTGTCTTACTACGAGGAGGAAATGCGAGAAATCAAGGCTATCGAGATTTTAGATGGCGTGGGTTTGATCGTATGATCTTTGATTATGTTGCCTATGTTGTCCGCCCCTTCCCTTCTCACTTATTTCTCTATCCAATCTCTTTTCTCACTCTTTGTCTCTCCCATCTTCCCCTTGTCACCCTCTTTCTTCGCCATTGGATTGAGGGGGATGTGCCTTTGAAGCTACGCCACTTAGTCGTCGACTTTGTTTCCATTTTACTTATTTTATGACCACAAATATAATCGTCTCTGTGTCTTTGGAGCCAGAAAATCGTTAACTCATGTCATACTTTAACGCAGAGTTAAACCTCTTCCGGCTCCAACAGACGATAATGAAGAAAATATTAAGAAACGGTTTATTGGCATATTGGCATATTGTCCAATGCCATTTGGTCCGATTATGATTTGCTCTAACGGATTATTAAGTGTAAGACCATAATATTTATGTTGATTGGACCAAATGGCAATTTATCAACCAATACATCTATGAATCAACAATTATGTTTAATAACTTAAAACAGATCGCAACGTGACTTGTGGTATAATGACATCATAGAAGCACTTGGCGATCGAGCTTCAACGACCACGAATACGATGGCGTCGATTCCCGAGCAACGGTCACCGAGTCAAGAACGACCTCCGATGATACCTCTAGAGGATACGCTCGACAACGACAATCTTTCCCTGGGTGGCAAAGCGTCAGGCCAGTCTGACGTGTACACGGTGCCTGTAAGTATGTTTTATGTTTAATGTCTTGTAGAAATCCACAAAGATTTATAATAAAGCTTCAAAATAGTAATGATCTCCAAGATTTGTGAGAAACAAAATGTGATCATGGTAATGAACGTAACTTATCTTTAGCAATCTCATCACCAAAAACTTAAGGAAAAGACAAAGTGTCTGTCAAGTTACTAGATCTCAGCAAAGAAATAAACAAGATCCTGAGTGATACCCATGGCGAGCCGTACTTGAAGTACATGTCTACAGTCATGATAAGTGAAAAGTAAGACAATCCTTCTTACTTTTTCTACAAGTTCGCTTTGATGTAATATTATTTGTACAGTCATTCACAGTGAGTCATGATTATCTTTCAAATACCAGTATCAGGACTATGAACCGATGCGATGTTCTGTCTCTACCGACGATGACGGATGCTCTTGGACGGGTACCAAGCCTTCGCCATCGATAACCACGAAACATAATTCGCCCATCATTTCCGATGTCGGTGAAGAAGATGGACTCGTTTCCGAGCAGGCCGATCTAGATGAGGATGGGTACGTCTTTCCCAGTGTCTTTGCTAAGAAGACCATTGACGCTGACGTGGTCGAGGATGCCCCGTCGAATGGGAGTTCGCTTTCATTGTCGAAGACCTCACCGTTGAACGTTCCCCGTTTGCCCGAAGCGAAGCCCTTGTTGCCCGAAGTGAAGCCCTTGTTGCCAGCGGCGGTGGACGATCGACCAGCCATTTCATCTGACTTCCTCGAGAGTCTGAAACACGCGCAAGAGAGTAAGCCGCGCCCCTTCGACGGTTCCCCTGAAAAGCCCCGCTATACCGCTGTAACTCGTCGAACCAAACCTCCGCTCCCGGAAACTCCGCCGAAGATGCCTCTAGCGATTCCCAAGGAGCTCAAGCAGCCGACCCTTGAGACGAAAAGTGCTACAGAGGAGAACGTATCGCCGGCGAAGAGTCCAGTCAAGGCGGTAAAGACGCCAGAGCGGGAGCCGGCGAGAAAGTCTCGGCGGAAGCCTTTGAAGATGCCCCCACCGTTACCTGCTGGAGGAAACTCTAAGCCAAGGTCTATCATTGGAAACAGCAGCAATGAGAGGCAGGAAAGTTTACCACCGTTGCCGCCGGTGCCACAAGCTAGGGCGCGGCCGAGTCCGGGGGAAGCCACTTCAAGCTCTTCAGAAACGTCACCCGTCAAACAACATGGTGCTGAAACTAATGAGAAAGTATATCAGTTAGTCAGGTGAGTTCTATGACTACACAAAAGGCATGTATAATATGCAAAATTTTAATATTGACTTAAAAGTTTCACCGTGTACAATCGGACTCCTATTTGTCCTATTGGTTCTTTTGTCCATACGCCCTAGACTTGTTTGTCCTTTGATCAGTGGTCCTATGCGGCCTTGCTTCATGGTTATACCGTCAGTTGGTTCCATACTGCATTGGTCCTACTTTTACATTCATCTTATTTTCCAGTGATCTAGTGAAACCTGACCATATTCGGATATTATTTTGACCAATGGGACTAAATAATGTTCATCTGGTCCAAATAAGACAGGACCAAATTAAGACGAAGTGTAAACTTGTAGGACTGTTATAAGAACCCCTTTAACCCCCTAAGTATTGAAACTGAAATATCATTCAAATGCTATCAGTCACCCAATTTATCAATCAAAATTATGAAAGCAAAATTAAATTACTCTAAAACTAGACTACTTAATAAGTACATTATGATTACAAAACTAATCAATGGTAATTCTTTTGCTTTAATTTTTCATCGATAAATTGGCTGGCTGTCACATTCATTGGAGAGTGGTGAAGTGGGAGTTTATTTAGGCCTATCGCTTAATAATTATTACACTGTGTAGTCTCTTTTAGTAGTTATTTCTATTTCGTGACTTTCAATCATAAACTTAATTTCTCTTCATGCAATACCACTCCATTCGCTTGCAACGGAACAACGACGATAAAGTAATTCTGTTAAAGATTATAATTGTCCAGATACGGGGGGGGGGGCGAGGGGCGGCGGACGCTGTTCTGTATAGGAAGTATTGATGCAAAGCGAAGGAACAGAATGATCGAGAAGGAAAAGTGTAAGAGGGGCCCCTTTTTTGTTCCTTTGGCGTTCTTTTGTTTCTCTCCCTTTCTTTATCTCCCCCCCCCCCAACCATTCGAGTAAGCTTTACCACTGAGAGTCTCATTCATTAAACGTCATGATAATTGATATATTCATGTTACCTTTGTCGGTCAATTATTTAAGGTTGTCATTTTATTTAGACTTGTCGACTAAATTATGATAGTTGATAGATAAGGTTTATTTAAAAAAATGGCTCGCGCTGAGAACAAGGTTATTAGCAATGCTAAACTTTTAGGAAATTTGGAATCCTGGAAGTTGATTGAAAAGAGAATAAGATTTTGTGTAGGAGACTATGAAATGCCTTCAAAACGAACCCTGTTATCATGAATACATGCATTAATTTAGCAGTCATGGTATGGTAAAAATCTATTTATTCTCTAACTATACATCTTTCATGTACATGATAACCTTGCATTGTGTGTCAAATATATCAATATCAAAGCTTATCTGCTAAGGTATTTCAATAATTCGTACTTTCAGAAGTTACCCTTTTCTACTGATATTTGACACTTCCTCATTTAGCATTCTGTAACCTATTAATATTTCATAGCACTTCCTGTGCCTGTTGCCAATCGTACATATACACTGTGTTGATAAATTATACGATTTGAATGAGGCACTATAGCCAAGTAATTTAATTTAATCTCACTTTCGCTTCGCGTCGTCAAAACAATACATCGCAATAACAGCCTTGAAATTAGTGGTTCCTGTATGAATGTGAGAGATCAATTAAGAATTGACTATTCATTTCCGCGTTGATACAATAATATTATATGGGTTATAATAATTGTTATCGTTATTGTATCATCATTGGGTTAAAGGGGATAATAACAACAATATCATCGAAAGAAAATGTTTATGACATAGGCCCTATAGTTTTCATAAACCTTTATTTACATGAGGTTTTTGTGTGTGTTTTTATCTCATTTGTTTAAACAACTATCTACTGCAGGATAAACAAGCCAGAATGAATAATAGCAATTGTCTCTCAAAATACGATTCCCATACCAGAGCTCAAGATTAGCTTTAATGATATGATATTCATGCATGTTCACATTATGTTGTTCTTTTAGGAGCTTTCGCAGTACACAAATGTCTCATGATGCCAAGGCTGTCGAGATTGCCAAAGACGTCCTGCTAGAAAAGGACGCTTTGAAACTGTCCACCATTAAGGATATCGTTTAGTGAGTCAGTGTCAATAACTTGAATGGTGTTTATGCCACTTAAAGTACTGTTTTTATGGGTTAAAAAAAGAGTTTTTTGTAGAGTCTGCTGAATTACAGCATTTTGATTGGACACTGCCAGAGATAAGCGGGAGCAGACTAAATAACTGCAGCCCATAAACATATTATAATCATTGCGTTTATTTGTTTCATATTGTTTTGTTGTTGTTGCTTTTTAGAAGGATGTGAATTGATTGATTGATTTTTATTCGACAAGCTTCCAACATACAACAATATACAAAAATAAAAGATCAAAAGTAAGTCAGCTTGAACAGGATTACCCACGAAAGCTCGAGAGCTTACTGAGATCCAATCAAAAATGTTTCGCCTATATATGTATAGAGATAAAAAAAAAACTGGTAATACTGTAGAACCAGTAATCACCCATGATCTTTTGGTTTTGTTTTATGCTTCACGCTAGAGTCAAACGTTGTAGAGGTTGTGTAGCCTTCGAATGGTTTAACCTTTATTTTTGTTAAAGGCTGTGGGTTCGATCCCTCTCGCCTTTCGATTTATGTATCTAGTTATCAGCCCTATTCTCCTATTCTACATATGATTTTATCTTATTTCATTTCATTTTATTTCTGCATTTTCCAAATACAATAACTGAATGACAAAGAACATGCAAACGTAAGGTATTTTACAAAATGTGCATACAATAAGAACTTCATGTCACAAAATGATTTACATAATTTCATACATAATAATAATAACCAACTTCATATTTCTATGATATAATATTATAGATTTAAAATATTATCCTAACTATCGGTGCAAAAGTGGAAGAGACCGCCATCATAAGCGACAGATAGCGGCCTCAAAAGAAGTTGTCTTAATGAAAATGTGTTCATATTCAACAGCATCAGTGGATTCCGGGTTGAGCCGAGCACTTCTGAGCTGCTGGTTGGAGATGAGGTCTTCATGATCAATGACCAGGCCGTGTCCTCGGTGGAGGAAGCCACCAAATGCATCCAAGCTAATGAGGGGGAGACGGTGAGCAATGATTTGTGTTTTTAGTTTTTGTGGCGATAGAGAAAGAGAGGGAGAGAGAGAGAGAGAGAGAGAGAGAGGGAGAGAGAGAGAGAGGGGAAAAAAAAGAAGATAAAGATAGAGATATAGAAATAGAGGTAGAGATAGAGATACAAAATAATATTAGAGGGGGCACCAGAGAGACGGTGTGATACACAGACAAACAGAAACAAAAAGATCGAGGGACGGAAAGAGAGTGAGAGAGAAAGAGAGAGAGAGAGAGAGAGAGAGAGAGAGAGGGAGAGAGAGAGAGAGATACAAAATAATATTAGAGGGGGCGCCAGAGAGACGGTGTGATCAGAGCCATCTATACACAGAGTTTGGCCGACTTGGTTTCACTGGGTCACAATATGGCGTAGGCTATATTCTTGCCCAACAAAGCAGTAGTCGCAATATTGTGTCCAACTCGAACCGAGTTGGCCAAACTCTGTGTATAGATGGCTCTGGGTGTGATGTGAAAGAGAAAGACGTATACACAGACAAACAGAAAGGTCGAGGGACGGAAAGAGAGTGAGAGAGAAAGAGAGAGAGAGAGAGAGAGAGAGAGAGAGAGAGAGAGAGAGAGAGAGAGAGAGAGAGAAGGGGAGCGAGAGAGAGATAGAGAGTGAGAGAGAGAGGGAGAGAAATGGAGGGTGTGGATACAAACTGCAAATAGAGAGTGAGAGGTGAGTATTTCTCTTTTATGACGGATTTAATGATTGTTAAAGTTGTGGTAATTTGTTAAACTTTTTATCTATTTTGGGGACAAGTTTTCTATTTATTTTGTACCGTTTTTTTTTCAAGGTGACTTTCTCCGTCAAAAAGATCCCTCATGGGGTGCTGAGCTACATTTCAAGACCGCAGGAACCGACTATCGATCTCAAGAAGCTCGGGCTGACTCTTGTAGGTAACGAAGTAAGTATTGTGCACTCCCGTCCAATGGTGTAGCTACGGGCGGAGTGGGGGGAGGGGGGCGACGTGGCTCAGAATAGAGAGAGAGAGAGAGAGAGAGAGAGAGAGAGAGAGAGAGAGAGAGAGAGAGAGAGAGAGAGAGAGAGAGAGAGAGCGGAGAGAGTGGGGGAGAAAGAAAGATCTTTCATTATGTTCGAAAATGTATTTGAAAAGTCCTCACACCCTGCATTATTCAGTATTCTGACAACGTCTCTCGGATGAGTGTATAATTTCTCTCATTACTGCCCCCAAATATGGAATATCTTCCCTTCATTTCGCACTGCCACCATTCACTCTTTTAAGAAGTATTTTAAAAACCATCTGTAGGCAAATGAATTACAAGTTCAAGGTAGAAATATAAAAGTCTTGACATTTCATGGGGATGATTTACTTTAAGGTCCGCTCAAGGTAATATTGTTCTCCTTTTAATCGTCTTGACTGAAGGTGACGAAGTTTGATTCGGAAGGACTGGTAGCACGTAGTGGTATCCCTTCTCGGCAATTGGTACCTGGCATCACAAACAATGGAGAGTTGGTCAACTGGGCGCTCACGCAAATGAATATGATACCAATCTCTGTCAGCGTCACCTCTGCCCAGGTGAGTAAACCTAATACGATAATAATAATAATAATAATATTTAATTTTTATAAAGCGCTTAATACAAATGTCTCTAAGCGCTTTACAAATATACTATTACCCCGGTCATTGGATTCAGTGCTTGCCCGCACACAACGTGTGCACAATCTCCACTCCCTGGGGAGCATTCCAGCCAGGCGTTACATGACGCTCAAAAACTGTTTGACCAACAATGACGGTCGCATCCTACCGGATACCCATTTAACACCTGGGTGGAGAGTAGCACGTGCAGGTTAATATCTTGCCAAAGGATATTAGTGCTGGTGTCGGGATTCGAACCCTCGACCTTCACATCTCCAAGTCAAGCGCCTTAAACCACTCGACCACGACACTCCCGTTCTTGTCTCAAAGAGCACCATTAATCATTAGAGAATAGAGACGGGTCAATGCATTATCTCATATTAATATGTTAATGTTCTTTAGAAATTGTTGTTGTAGTTCGTGTTCATTTCAGTTTTAACTGCCAGACACAAAGATTCTAATGAAACCCATTTATTTATCTATCTATCTATCTATATCGATCTCTTGGGGGGGGGGGGGGGGGGGGGAAAGCGCAAAACTTTTTCAATAGTCTCATAAGTAACATCTAAATAGAAAAAATACAGTAAGATTGTCATTTCCCGGTGCCTTTTTGGTCTAAATTCTAGAGCACAATTTTTTTTTCATACTCGATGTGTGCAATATGACAGAAGACGTTTTTGTTTGCGCCCCCTCTTCTGGCCAATACCGATCATGCTTCAGGATCCATAAATATTTACGCTCTCATTTGAGACGCCCTCTAATTTATGTGTTTTCAATTGCACCCCCTCCCCCACCCTCCAGCATCATCCACACTGACTTGTTTTGTTTCTACACCATATACCTTTGGCGTTACTAAATTTTCGATGCGCCGAAGTTTGAGGGGAGCGGTTTTGTTTCATACGCTCAGATCACCCCCTCATGCCCGAGCATCTATACCTACCTTTAAACAAAGCTTCACGTCTCAATGAAACTATGGACATCATAGTGAGACAACTTTAGATGTTATAAACGTTGAATGTACTACAGCAAAAAGTTACTATAGTTTAATGCTAGAAAAGAAAAAAGAGAAAATTGGTATCCATTTCTGGCAAAATATTTTAGGCCTACCAGAGACATTTGTTTGGAAAGATGTATTTCAGTTCAAATTTAATAAGATAAGAGACAACAATATCAAACAATATAATTTCAAATTGATTCATAGAATATTGCCATCTAAAGACAATCTCTTTATATGGACAATCGTACAGTCTAACGAATGTGAAATTTGTCGTGAAAAAGAAACTATTGAACATTTTATATTTCGTTGCAAGAAATTAAGAGTTTTCTGGAAAATTATCTCAAGAATTATATATTTCATCTTTAAAATAGAAATTGAAATTGATATGAAAATGTTATTGATTGGATATAAAATAGATAACAGAAAATTTACTTTACTTAATTTTTTGATAAATTATGCTCAACTGGTTATATACAAAGACTATGTAAAGCGGAACTTTGGGGAAGTACCAACCAATCCAAAGAGGTATAATAAATGATTTTATTTCATTATTGAAATGTTAATTGAAATACAAAGAAAATATAAGAAACTTCGATAATGAAGAAGTAAAGAAAGTATTAGAAATGTTAAAATGATAATTTTAAGAAATTATGTTGATCTTGTATATAATTCATGTGTTTCATTTGACTTGTTTTGTAAATAATATATATATATTTTGAAATGGAACAATAAAGTCCCTCTGAAGAGGTAAAGAGAAAGAAAAAAAAACCTCCAGATTTACCAAACCTTTTGAAAGGATGTACACAATAGGAGGATCCAGGATTTTGTGCAGGGGGCACAATCTAAACAATTATAATGGGCAGAGAAAACAAAAAGGGTTATTGTTTTAAAAAAAAAAAAAAAAAAAAAAAACGGTTGAGGGGCATGACCCGGTTGTGTCCCCCTATTATACATCCGCCAGTGAAAGAACATGGGAAACTCTCACCATAACATTTCGTCACTCAATCTTTCTTTCTTCCTTCCATTGCAGGTGGAGGAGATTCTCGCGGACTGTGGTAACAACGTGGCCCTTGTTTTCCATCCCGCTGACTTCGCAGCCGCCCTATAACACAATGATGTCGAGAATGAACACAGGCATGACAACGATGACAATTGCCATCCATATACAGGGTTTTTGCGACAGCCCCCTTGTTCTTCGCACCCACCATGTTCATAATTTATAGTTTAGGAGCGGACTGGTCATTTTTAGGGACCCCTTTTAGTAGTTTTCTTTTTTTTTAGCAGTGCGGTCGAATATTTTGGCTCGAAGGCCGATTGATTATTTTGTAGTTAAAGAGCCGGTGTGCAGTGTTGGCACCGAAAATTGCGTCTTTTTTGCGGACCGGTTTTAGCCAATGTCCGCTTATGATTGAAGTACAGATAAAGTTGAATTATTTAAGATTTATGTTGATTGACGATTAATTTTTTAGGATTCTCCTTCGTTTATCTCTATTACTAAACCAGATTCGATATACATCTTCATAATTTACACAGATCCTGAAATCATTTCGAGAAGGTAAACCGCCCTCAAAACCCCCGACCCCCCCCCCTCTCGCATCGACGACCCTGATACTGGATATTGTTTCTCAATTGGTAGTTAAGATAAGTGGCCTTCCGAGCAGTGTCATATCATGAGTCCATCAATTGAGGGGCACATGGATGATTGGGGGCACCACTTTTACTCGGAAAGTGAAATGCGAATTTTCAAGGCTATGCTTGATAATGAGAAGAGGGTCAGGGAAGGGGTCCAGGGACCCGCTTCACAAAGCATTTTTTCAATGACAAACGAAGAAAAAAAAATCAGTGACAAATCTGCTGATAACCAATCAGAGGCAAAGATTTCACTACTGAGCTTGTAACAAAAACTGTCATTTTGTCACTGATGACAAGTTTTGTGAAATGGGACCCAGGTTTCTTCTTTTCTCATTCCGTTCCCCCCACCCCCACTCAGTATTATTAAGGGTACGCGTATGCAGGCGTGGATCCAGGGGGGCCAGCGGGCCCTGCCCCCCCCCCCCCCGCAAAAAAGAGAGAGAAAGGGAAAGAGGAGAGAAAGGAAAGAAAGAAGAGGAAGAAAAAGGGGGAAAAGAAGGAGATCGGGGGGGGGGGGCGAAAGGGCCTTACCCCTTAGCTGTTACCTACCCCCCCCCCCCCCCCCCGTCAAAAAGGAGAAGGAAGGAAAGGGAAAGAACAAAGGAAAAGAGGAGATAAAGGGAAGGAAAAAAAGAGGAAGAAGAAAAGAAAAGAAGGGGGATATCAGTTGTAATTTTCACGCCAACAAGTTGCCCTTGCCTCCCCCAACCCCGCCCCCAAAGGGTGGGAGGGGGGGGGGGAGGGAAAGGGAAAGAGGAGAGCTAAAAGGGAACAAAAACAGGAAGAAGAAAAGAAAAGGGTGAAAAGAAGGGGGAACAGTTGCGATTAATCCCGCCAAAAACGTGTGGATCGGAGGGGGGGCCGAAAGGCCCTTGCCTCCCCTCCATCAAAAGGAAAGGGAGAGGAACCCGAACCCGCCAGGGGCCCTAAGGCAGGCCACTGTATGCTTGTCTGACCGTTATGAAATGCCTAAAACCCCTGAGCTTCTGGGGGCTCCGCCCCTTGGACCCCACACCCATTTGTTTCCTGCCAGTGTCACAAATAAGGTATCAAAATAATGCTCATCTGACCGTAATTTATTGCCATAAACCCATAAGCTTACGGGGCTCCGCCCCCTAGAACCCCACGCCAATTCGTGACATGCCAGTGTCACAAATAAGGTATCAAAATATGCTCATCTGACGGTAATTTAATGTATAAAACCTCTGAGCTTCTGTGGGCTCCGCCACTTGGACCCCACACCATTTGTGTCCTGCCAGTGTCACAAATAAGGTATCAACATATGCTCACCTGACCGTTAGTAAATGGCTATACCACCTGAACTTCTGGGGGCTCCACCCCTTGATCCCCCGCGGGGCTTCGCCCCTAAACCCCACGCCAATTTACGTTACGCTCTACCTGATTGTAAATACCACCCCACCTACTTAGAGAAACGTTCAGCGCGGCCTGCATGCAAGAATGGGGGGATGCGGATCCCCCCCCCCCCGAAAAGAAAAAAAAAACATTAACAAAACACGTTTTTGCTCATTTCACCACTGCCGGTGTCACCATTACGTACCAATATTTTGCTCGCATAATTTCAAATTTGGCCCCCCCCCCCCCTAAGAAATCCTGGATCCGCGCTTTGGTATGCCCTAGCTAGGTCTGTAGGTTTGGGGTTGATGTGGAATTGGTTTGGGGTACGTGTGAATGTGGTATGAAGTGATGTGCTGATGATGGAGCCTACCAGCTTTGCATCTCTTTTCAAGTGTCCTCTTTTTCTTAAACACATTCTCTGTTTGTCACCAATAGGTTGTCAATGCGCTTTTCGCGCTTGGCAGGGTATCACAGAAACTAGGAAACAACCTGCCTAGGCTTGGTCCCGAAGAAGCGTAGGAAAACAAACGAGGAGCAGCTACGAGCTGGTGAAAGTGTGATAGGGCTACAGACTGGCTCAAACAAAGGAGCTTCACAGGCTGGTCAAAATTTCGGAAAGACTAGAGCGATTGTATTATTTATTTAATTGATTTGTTATGCTAATACAGTCGGCTAAACATGTTTCAAAACACTGATGGTAATGGCAAAGCATGATGGTGCTTCGAGGTATGCTTATGTAATAGGCTTATACAACATAATTGACTAACTGTGCAGTCAAGCTCGAGATAGAGCCAACAAATTCTTTGGCGTCAGGTTTGTGTTTTTATTATTATTTATTCACTTTCTCACGGTTTATAATAAAATCTATGACATTTTCCAATTGCTTCATCAAACCGTTTTTACGAGATTTTCTCACTCTTAGTTTGGTTTTCAACAGAAAGAGTCTTCATTGAATTTATTAAATGATTATTATTATAAATCTGCTTATATTATTGTCTGTTGTTTAGAGTAATTTATTTGTTCTGTTATAAGCAAGACGATATTCGTGACTGCATTTTGAGGCGGATCATTAATAATTCACGAGCATAATATGCACGACAAATTATGATTATGAGACGAGAGATTAAAGAGGGAAATATGAGTGAGAGGTGCAGAGAGAAAGGAGAGGGGGTCACTAGGGTCAAAGATTGATGGTACTATTGCGGATAAGAGGGTACAAAGACACAGAGAGAGAAGCAAAAAGATAGATGATAAAACTGCAGATGAAAGGAAAGGGAAGGGTGAGTTGTTTGGGGTGATAACAGAAGCGTCGATTATTGAATGTGAACATCTAATATTAACAACACAAAACTGCAAAGACTTTATTTAGTTATGTTATATATTTGGAAAAATGCAGAAATAAAATAAAATCAAAAAAATCAAATCAAAATATATCAGAAAGGGAATAACATCTGATTCATATATTTTTAATATATTGATGTTTAGTATCTACTGAGATTTACGTAAAACATAATTTATTTTTGATGTGAAAGTTGTCTTTAATACTCAGATTTGGTCATATGGAAACGTTTGCTGGTATTTGTCTCATAAAAGAATTTGACCACGAACTGACTCCCACACGGTGTTGAGTGCTCAGGGGTCACAGGGCACTGGCTTCATCGGGCAGGTAGTTCCATTATGTGAATGGGTAAATTAACTATTACAAAATGAGGGGACACGTTACATTGTACAATAGGGACACACATTGTTTTTATTGTGCAGAACATACTCTTTTATTGACTTACTTATTGCATGAAACTATAAAACCAAAATGCATTTTGTATTCTAACAATTGGAGTACAAAGAATAATAACAGGTGAATGAAATACATAAACACCACAAACACCTGGGGAGGAAGCATTCATAAATTTGAATACATATAGTTGATAAACGACTCCGATGAAACTATAAAACCAAAATGAAATTTGCGTTCTGGCAATTGGAGTACAAAGAATGATAGCAGGTGAATGAAATGCTTCAACAGCAACACAAACACCTGGAAAGCTAGGAAGCATCCATAAATTTGAATAATTTAGTTGATAAACGACTCCGCATGTGGACGTTTGTTGGAGCAGAAAGCAGTGGATTCTTAACAACACGAACCCATTTAACAGAATGTCAGAACGTAAATTAAATTTTGCGCGGTTGGAAAATGCATCTTTCTACCCTGCGACTTTAATGGTACGATCCAGTAAATTAAAACAGTAAATTGGGTCTTATTTTAAAATTAATCATTAAATAAAACCCCAAACTTCAGTGATATCAGAAAAAACATGTTATATCTTACTAATAATTAAAAAAAAATGTATAAACATTGTGAAAGAGTCGCATTTTACGATAAAAGACACCGATTTAGCGAAGATGACGTCATTAGTGCGCTTGCATCAGGGAATTCAAGGTCAAAAGGTAAATTCAGACGCTGATACGTTATTGGTCGAGCCTTTTTGTTTCCTTTATTCCGACAAAATTATACAATCAATCAAAACAAGTTTGATACCAGAAGAAAGCTAACGATAGTATTTTCATTAATCGCTTGCCCCAAAATCTCTTGACCACAGTGAAACGAGTGAGAGCTTGCGAGAGCGGCCAAAGTGTGATTAAAACTCGCTATTTGCTCTTCTCCAACGCAAAAAGAGACGACATTGTGCTGGATACATGTATTTTTTCCGGCAAAAGTACAGAAAAATTGCATATGGTCTTTTTATATTATACTTTATGAAATGTTTCCCGAGTGACTTCCGGGCGCCCAATGCTGGAAAGAAACGCACATTTTAGAAAACTTCACTTTTTCATGGAAAAATGCTTATTTGCTCTATGCACGCAAGTCAGATTGAGCGGATGATACAACGTTTCCATATGTTGGACTCGGGTGTACCGTTCAAGCCTCGAAACCCCTACCCATTTTTAAGGTCATTTGGGGGGGGGGGGTTTCTCGAAATAAAGGCCCATTTTTCACAATTTTCTAGATTTTTGTGTGAAAAAGTTGCCCATTAGAGCGGCACACCCCCGTATGTATTCTCTCTCTAAAAAAAAAGAGTGAATATTCACTCTATTTTCACTTTCTTGGGAGTGACGTCCGTGATCACTTGTTTAGGAGTGAATATCGATTGATTTTCGAGTGCTCTCTAAGAAGAAAAGAGTGAATGTTCACTATATTTTCACTACATTTTCACTCTCCAGAGGAGTGACGTCCGTGATCACTCGATTTTTTTTTAGAGAGTTGGAGTACGTGTGAATGTGGTATGAAGTGATGTGCTGATGATGGAGCCTACCAGCTTTGCATCTCCTTTCAAGTCTCCTCTTTTTCTTAAACACATTCTCTGTTTGTCACCAATAGGTTATCAGTGGGATTGACGGGCTTGCCAGGAAATTAAAGCAACTAAGAAAAGGCCTGCCTGTGATTGAATACGATTTAGGATCGACAGCAAAGCTACCAGCTAATAGAGGTGTGATGGAGTTACAGGCTGGCACAAACTTAGGAGCTAATCAGTCTGGTCTATATTTCGGAGAGTCCAGGGAGTCTACGACCAATGAATATATTAATTGACCTTTCTAGTTCTACTGTTCACACTTCATAAGAAAATGAAGCGATGAGTATACTGCCTATCGCATTGTAACCCACATAATTATCACCAAATACAATATTAGCGTATTCGTACCAGTTGATGGAATATAATTTGCCAAAATTGACATATCCAGAAAAGGCAACAGAACCAATTGACCCCCCACTCCTCGAACAAAACCCCTGCAGTAAATATAACAAACTAGATGCATCTAAGGGATAAGTTTTTGCATAAAGTGTGTCCTATCCCTAACAAGGACGATCAATCAGAAAGCACTGTATAACATTCGTGGCTCCGTGTAGCAGCATGAATTTCTTATTTCTGGACGGATTACTTGTAAATATAAACGTTTTAATTGATTTCTTATTCTAAAGATT